AAAAATATTGTTCGATTCCAAATAGGCTATTTACTGGTTAATAACAAAGCCATAGACAAATCCTCCCACATTCTATTACGCTGACACTACACTGATCGTACACCACAATATAACAGCGAAAGCTATCGAAAAAGTTAAGTCTCAAGTCTAAGTACAAACTGTATAATTTTAATAAAAACGGTATATCAAATAAAAACCAAGATATTGAACAGAAACCTGCATAAGAAGTTCTAGGAGAAATACGAAAAGCGATAAAGGAAAATGCAGAGACATAATCATTCGAATTAGAACAAGTGAAAAGCAAAAAAAGTGTTGCTGGAATCAAGAAAAGATAATAACATACAAAAAAGACCTTACAAACTAAAAAAAAACAAATACCAACCAATCTTAAAGCATTTTAAGACTTCGCATTGAATGTTTGTCTCAGAAACTAAATATCTGTAAGTGGGAAATTGTTTCAACTCCTCAAAAAAACAATCTAGTTTTTACTTGTGAACTAGTAGAGGCGGCAACTTGAATGTTTTATATCATATATTTTTTCGATTTGTAATATCAGGTTTCTTATAAATTACAAAGCATTTCAGTTTCCGGGAAAAAGAGTCTTTCAAAGTTCAAAAGTTTAAAAACGCCTAACAGAATGTAGACAATTAGCAAAATAAATCTGTAGCAGTTGATAGAAACGTTCTTTTGAACCAAAAAATAAATTTAACATAATCAAATAGACAGATCAAAGAGTAGAGATTAGTTAGTTGGTCTTAGATCAGACTCTGAAGGCTTTCACAAATCAAAAGTCAAAGTGTCGGATCAGAAGTTTTCCGGGTTCATAAACCGTGGACCAATGGAACTTATGTGGTGTTGATCTCCATTTTTAAGCACAGAGAAATGGCGTTTTTCTTTGTTAATTTGTTTATGAGATGAGAGAAAAATGAAAAATTGCTGATTTTAACTTCATTTTTTCTCTCTTACTGCAATATTTAAGAAATGTTAACTCCTTTTGAATATATAATCATGTGTAGAGTATAAGTCACATAAGGAGAAAAATGTACGGGGCGTTACAAGATAAACGTTTACATCGATTTAAAAGTCTTTTGGTAGAAGTTTTTAATATAATTAAATACATTTGTTTTTTTTTTATCTAAAATTACCCCGTATCTAGAAGGGTCCAAAATACTAAAACTACAATTGAAGTAAGCTTTATAATTCGAAGATACAAACTTCTCGCATTGATTAGTGCGTACTTAATAGTTTTTCAAAAATAATCGTCTTACCAAAAATATCAGGTTTAATAAAAATTCAAAAGCAACAATTAATCAAAACAAGTAACAAATTACAATCAATTTTCAAACAGTGTACTATTTTCCCTTATGCAGATTAGGCGTGAGTTTAACGATACATTATATATTTTTTGAAATCCCGACGGGAACTAAGGACATTTATAATATTTTTTTGAGATAGCCCGTATATTTTTCTCCATCTATGACTTTTATGCTACAAATAATGATCATTTATGAATGTATCTGCATTTATTTTATATTTTCTATATTAAAAGTGCAAACAAAATGAAGTTGAAATTAGCAGTTGATCAGTTTTATCTGATAGTGTATCTCATAAACCAATTAAGAAAAAATATATCGAGAAGCGTCAATAGTCTTTTCTCTCAAATATGGAGCATAACAGTTTCCGAAATACCCATATAAACGAACAATTTTGCTCGCCCTGTACAGAATTTGTTTGTGACTCTTAAACTCACTTCCACATATTACCTTATAGGGAGCCGATTTTCCTTGGGTCAACTCCCTTAGAAACTAGATGATCAAAGATTTAAAAAAATAAAAAAATCACAAGATCATACGTTTGAGGTATCCCTGAATCCCCTTACTTTAAAAAAATACAATTTTATTGAATAATGAGCCACAATTAACCGGATTTACAATAATATTTCTAATCAAATGTGTTCAATTTTTTTTTGTTCCAGACTCCTTCCAAGCGTTGATCCAGTACCCTGATAAGGAATCCGCACAAGCCGCGAAACAGGCCTTGGACGGACAAAATGTTTACAACAGTTGTTGTACTTTGCGCATCGATTACTCAAAAATGGCCTCACTCAATGTAAAATATAACAACGACAAATCGCGAGATTACACAAACCCCAGTCTACCTACTGGAGACGGTACTGACAATCAGTTGGCCTTAGCCGGAGGATTGGCTGGAGGCCTGGGAGCTGACATACTGCTATTGGCTGCCCAGCCTCGGCTAGCTAGAGAGCGATTGGCAGGTAGGTAATCAGTCATTAAGTAATTTATCAGTACATCTTTGCAATTTGATTTAATGAGCTTCAAGAACAGTATCGGACACGATTCTCAACAAAGCATCTTGTATAACAGCAAAAAAGCAGGACTTTCGTGGCCATTGCCTGAAACTGGCGAGTACTTTGGGCTTTTGGATCGTAGTGGAAAAAAGTAGTTCCTGGCGTTTCGCAGGCATGAGTGCTTTCATCTGCAGTGCTCCGCTCGAAAGCTTCACTACGCTCATCACCATCACCTGCGAAACTTCAGTAAGAATTGTTTTCCTCGACGGCCTAAAAGCACGAAAAACCCACCAGTTTCGTCTAAGTAACAACAGCATGAACAGGCCGAATATCAAATTCTTACAGACTCAGTATCAAGCAAGATGACAATAAATGATTTAATAACTGTAATTTTAAATATGTAGATTCTATTCTTGCTGGTGCACCAGGTGTGTTGAACGCGCCTTTCATTCACGCGGTGGGCTCTCCTTTGGGTGCTCCCTATGCTAATGGAGGAGCGGGATCCATTCCAGGTCTGACCGGCTTTGCCACCCTCGGCCAAACTGCGACAGGGCTGCGCGGTTTGACTACCCCCGGCCTAAGCTTGGCAACTGTCTTGCTTGTTAGCAACTTGAATGAAGAGGTCAGTATAACATGCATTAATTTTTTTTATTAGGGAATTTTCCTCAAACTATTTATAAATTTGGAAATTGTTGTTTTATCTAGAGGCCACCACTTTAGAATTTTGTGGGAGTTTTGCCGGTTTCCGTGAATATACCGCAGAGATAGTTAGGCGATTTACAAAATGCGTAGGGATGTTGTGAAAATGCAGCGAAATAAAAGGCAACCAAACAATGTTCGTTATGGCTGTCCTAATTTATTCACAGACTGTTTGTTGGGTATTTCACCTCAAAATTTTTCTTGCGACACACTTAGGCTCAAGCTGTAAGGGAAAATTCCAATTAGTGAAGAAATTAATTTAAAAAAATACTAAAAAATATGTAAACCAAGCAATATTGGCTTTTATCTCAGTAGAACCTATTTAAATTATTCCAAAAAATCTTCAACAGGGTTTTTTCTTATTAGTTTTAAATACACATTTCAGCACAAAACATTCTCAGTTCACAACCAATTTTCAAAAAGTCACCAATTGAGAAGACTTTTATATTTAATGGTACATATTTAAAAATCCAGTAATTTTATAAAGGGTACTGAGCGCAGACAGACTTATTCGGGAAAAAAGTGTACAACCCAAAACATGTTTTTGCCTATTTTGAATCTTTAATGCCGGTATTGCATGCAGCACTGTTGCCCGATTTATTGGCCAATAAAGTTGGTTAATTATTTTTGACGGTCATTTCCTTTGCCGTCATCGACTTTGGTGCAATTTCAGTAAAACCAACATAATCCGATTTACTAATTTGCTAAATTTATTGAATACAACACAAATTTTCGACATTTTAAACAAAATAACCTACCCTCTTGCTACTTTTCTTCGAAAATTGATGCAAACATTGTCATGGCACAGATAGCAAACAACAAAGAACCCCTTGTAAAAATTCCCAGAAAATGTTTACATTCCGAAATATTCTTCAGCATGCTCGAAGTCCACAATAAATCGTACAATTTATCGTTCGTAGCCCGATTCAACGCTTTTCGCTCATATCTGGTGACCTTTAGTAATTGGCCCAATTTAGTAGCAAATAAATGGGGAAAAATGTGTCGTGTAATACCGAAATAAATCATTAATCCTTTGAATGTATTTGAAATGCCAGAGAATCTTCAAAGCAACTGAATTAAATGTCGGCTTATTCGAGGAAAAATTTAGTTTATATTATATATGTTTATATAGCAGGAAACGCTGCTAAATTTATCCCCATTTTGAAATTATCAAAATAAGGAAACATTGTTTTTGTATGGACATTTGCACATAATTGTTTTGCCACAATTGTATCAATTTGTCTATATTTGTATTTGTCCTAATTTTGTATTTTTTAGGTTTAGGTATTTTTATTCAAACAGTTTTTTGCATTGTAGTGTAAGACTCGACATTAGTTTGCTATCTGCAAAAGTATCAATATTTCAGAAGTTCTAAAACCATCAGGATTCCATGAAATAGTAAAATGTAGCCCTATTAACTTCATTCGTTTCAGTTTGGAGTCTTTGATCGAGTAAACGTAGTTCATGTTTTTAGGTTCTGTAGAAAATACAGTATATGGCAATTTTTTGTTAAATATGTCGCTTTTAACGAATGGTATATACAAGGTGATCTTGACGGAAGGTCAAACTCCTAAAGAAGCGGTAGACAATGTAGTTTTAAAAATTTACAACTCAAACAATATTTATGCAGTTAATATGTAAGACAAGAGAGTTTATTTTTTAATTAATTTAATTTGTGAAGCGCAGAAAGACCTCAAAACTCCAGAGCTTTTTTAATTAATATAAATAAAAATTTGGAGGTGAAATGACTCATCATTCTTCATCAAACATCTCACCATAAATCAAATGTTCACCACTGTTTATCTTAGTTTCTGGTATATAAACTTATAAAATTATGGCACGCATGGAACCGTCCCTGGATTTTTGAAACATCAATTTTCAAACACCCTGTATACTATAATTTTTTTGGTCGACCAAGATGTCCACAAACCAAAATTTCAGAAATCCACATCTACAAAGTCACTTTATTGCTTAAAAATATCACATATTATAATTTCTTAATTAAATCACACAATAAACAGCGTTTGATTGAATAGTTACTACAATAATCAAATTTGATGTTAAATACTTTATTATAATGTAACTTCCTCGTCGCATTGAACATTAGCCTAAAGTTAAGAAAAGTAAATTCATAAATGATGGCATTAACACTTTTTTTTGGTTATTATCACTTTTGGATTTAGATAAGTTTGAATCAATCATCATATTTTTACGTGACAAAAATACATGTATGCCATTCGTCAGCGTATATTAACATTCCAAATGTAAGAAATGTCGACGAGACACCAAAATATACGAATCTAGGGTGCGAATTGAAATTCATTTTGCTAATATTGTGCTCATTACTTAACTTTCCTTAACAGAGCTTGTTATATTATTAATCGAATCCTGCCAGTTTACTAAAACAATAACAACATGTAAAGTAAAGTGAACTGTATAATAAACTTCGACACCTCATTAAGTCAATTAGTGAATTGGTGTAAATAGCACTTAATCATTGAGTTTAGAATTAATTGTCAATATTGTTAATCACTTTAACTGGCTGCTTATTTTTCTTGCTAAAATCCGTTTGCGATTTAGCCTTGCTTTTATTTCAACACCAACCAACGGTTTTAAGTTAAATCTTAAAGATGTTTATACTATGATCATTCCAAAATTAATTATTTTGAGAAAAGCTTTCTTTCCGAACCCAATGGAGACAAATTATCACATGTAAGTTGTTAATTTGTTGGCGAGTTTCAAATTATTTTCACACACTCACATAGTCAATTGTTAGCAGCAAACTTCCATAGACATTAGTGTTTTAATATTTAAATTGCAAATAATTCGTTCTTGAAAAAATCGATTTCTGAGTGAAATTCGAATGTTAAATTGCATAGTTTAAGCAGGATATTAACACTACATTAATAATGAATTATGTAAATGAATAATAAATCAACACCTGTTCAAAATGACGACTATTCATAAGAATACGAATTAAAATTTCTCTGACGAACGAAAAGAGAGAAAATTGTCTTTAACATATGGTTTAAATTAAACATTTCGTACACGTTTATATATTCGGGATCAAGTGCGGTCTGGTTATAGTAGATGCAAGTGCAAGCCAAATTCTTCTTAACGACATTTTACAATTTTAGCAGGGACATGAACCGATACTATGTGATTTAACAGACTTGCCATGAACATAAATTAACACATTTATTCTGTCTTCAAATTGCATATTTTATCAACTGTTTGAGTTGAAATTATTGAATATAACTAACATAGCTTAGACGCTTTAGAAGGTGAAGTCGGAAATAAAAATAGAGCGAAGCCAACGATAACAATATTTTACTGATTTTTTTACTGATAGATTTTTTGTGGTTAAGATTCTAATATGCTGTTTCTCTTTTTTACATTTGCTGCCCTTTCCGGCGGCAAAAATACCGCCTACCTCTTTGTGCCACGTCACATCCTCCTGTCATCTTTCTCTATTGTAGATGGTCACGCCTGACGCTCTCTTTACACTATTTGGTATGTTTTCATACTTAATTATATCGTATTCATTTTAAATGATATAAAATTGTATTATTTTAACCAATTTAAACTGCTTTACTTCATGTATGTTACTATCGTTTGTCATAGTTTGTAGTTACTTTCTCCACTTTATTGCTATTGTCATTTTCATTGTTTCTATAATTTGATTAATTTCGTCGTTTAATACAGAAATACAGTTTTTCAATACAATTAATCATAGTAAATTGAAACTAAAATGTATGCTTATTAGAGAAGCTTTCTTCTTCAAACTTGCTATTTAATTAACATATTGATTTATGTGAATTTATTAAAATACATGCACATTTATCAAACCTTTGATAATTGAGGAACACGTTAGTTACATGTGTGGAGGTTTAATTGGCCTCAACAATTCATATTTATTGTATTGGTTAAAATAGTATGGTTTTAAAAAGTCTAATTTACTAACATAAAACCTGCTACGCTTAAGCGATCAAGTTGAATGTTGCCGCGGTTAAACTGCAATTCGGTAAAATCAATTTAGTAAATTAGACTTTATCGTCATTTTTTACTACTTTCATTTTGTTTGTATTGATTGATTTTGTGTTGTTTTTACAATCTTTCTCTTACTTATTAAGCTTACTGCTTAGATTCATCATCGTTCATTTAAGTTCTAAAACGTACTTGTAATCTTTCTTATGTTATTTCGTAGACTTTTTGTTTTTCAGTTTACGTTATGCATGGCACTGTATGTTTCAAACATGTTTCGTTTTATTGTTTCATTATTAGTGTTCTTTTCATTGCTACTCAGTCCTACCGGGATAGAAGTAACACGTTTTATTTTCAGTTATGGTATTGTTTTCCAATGTTTTTTTTTGGTTTTACGATTTAATCATAGATCCACACATTTGTATCATTTTTTTTACGATACTACGATATTTCTATCCAAGAGTCATAGCGAAGAAAAGCCTTTCATACCTGTTCGCTTTTTTAGGCGTTTATGGCGATGTGCAGCGCGTGAAGATTTTGTACAATAAAAAAGATTCCGCTCTTGTACAATTAGCTGAACCACATCAAGCACATTTAGGTAAGTTGAAAAAGTATTTTGATTTTCTCATATTTTAAAATTGTTCTTAAACGTAAAAGGTAAATGTTTAGTTTTGTGAATTCCCTCAAAACATCTGGAAATTAAAATCACTTGGGTTACTTGCTGAATATACAAATAAAACCTAATATAAAAGTCGCTAATTCTAGTGAGCTTTAGATGCATAATCATAATAATTTAGTCAGAAGGTTTTCTCAAAAATCCATAAAAGATTTGTTGTATTAACGCATTTTTTTCCGGTAGCAATAACTCATATGGACAAGTTGAAAGTATTTGGAAAGCACATTCGAGTGATGTTGAGCAAACATCAATCCGTGCAGATGCCTAAGGAAGGACAACCAGACGCTGGCCTAACCAAGGATTACAGTCAGAGCCCATTGCATAGGTACAAATTACAATACGTTTTAATCAAAAATAAATGTTTCTCTTTTATCACATTTTAATGCATCAAAGAAATGACACTGAAAAAGAGTTTCATATAAAACTTAATCCGGAAAAGATCATAAAAAAATATATTAGACTTTAAACGTAGGGAGTTCGTTCGTTAAATTCGTTTTTGGTTTACAATTACTGTTAATTCTGAGCATAGACGACACATTTGAACGCGTCTATTGATATTTAATATCACCTGCTTTTTACCTTCAATTTTTGGTATGTTACTAGCTCTTTGCTAGACTTGCAACGCGCCTTTGGAAAGCAAGTATAATAAATATCTACAAAATGTTGTAAATGGATTTTAAATAATTCAAAAATTGGAAAAAATGATAACAAAAAAACAATTTAAAAAAATTAATTGAAAAAATTCTGAACTGAAAAAAACAACTCTGAAGTTTTTAGTACCGTTTACAACGTACCGTAAGTTAGAAGCACCGTTTTACATATAAACTCATTATATGTGTCCCAGAAAGCAATCAATTAACGTGCAATAAATAAATTAATGGATAAGTTCTATATGCTTGAGGCGGATTCATGTTTTCACAATCATTTCCTGGATGTTTTCCCGGATGTTCAAAAATTTTTGTCTTATAAAGGCACATCATTTTCTCGTTTTTTTATTATAAAGTGTATCAAATATATCAAAAAGCAACCCTTTTATCAATATTAAAAAAAAAACTTTTGTTCATTAAAGAAAACATGAAACTTAAAACCTTTTGATAAACAATTCGATCTTTATTGTGAAACAAGAGCACGCTATGTCAATTTGTTTGAGATTGACTTGACGTCAAGAGACGTGAGTAAATTGTATTTTTTTTATAAAACCAAAATGTGTGAAACGAAATACCTGATAAAATATTTTGAAAAAATTAATCAATGTCAAATGGGCTTTTTCATCTTACTTCGTTTACATGAATGATTAAATCTTAATATTTCTATCCCAAATAAAAATACACATGAAATAATCTTATCAATTGACAATTTTTGTTTGTCGGTTTATGTCTGAATGTTTTGAGGCAAAATCTGATTTTGTAACTTTGTCTACTAATAAAAAATTAAAATACCAGGTAAATGCGAACTGCAACCGAGTCTTGGCTTGTAAATCGTTAGAGTTATAAAGCAGGAAAAAAATTGTTCATATAAATGTTTTTTGCCCACAAATTACAAGCATGTTCTTAGCACCAGAGTACTAGGAATATTGAATAATTTAGTCGATTTTGAATATATGTTGACAAATAACGGTCTTAGAGCTTCTATTTTTCATGCTGCTCACCTTATAAAATGTTCAATAAACATAATGCATACGGTTGAAATTATATTTATTTATGTGGTACAAGTAGATTGGCTATGTGACAAGCAAGCACCGCCAAAACCGGTTTTGAACCTACTGGTTCTCATGATCTGAGCTTAATTTGCTAATGACCATGATCCAAAATCTTGAACCTTAAAGGGTCTGAATGAAGCAGTGAGAAACTATAATTTCGGAGTTTCATTCATGGCCCTTTAAAGTACAAGGTGACATTAGCAAATTAAGCTTAGATCATGAGGACCAGTAGGTTCAAAACCGGTTTTGGAAGTGTTTGCTTGGGCCAGCCACGCATTTGAGTAATTAATCAATAAACCATTTTGAAATATTTCTACGTGAAATTGTTGTGAGGAAAGTGTTTGTCTGAAAGAGTCGACGTCAAAAATTCACATTCACATTCTTCAAAATCACGCTCCACGTTTATAGGATTTCTTTCAAATCAGGTTTTTAATGATGCGTTGAAAAATTGGGTGTTTTGCATGTTAAATTGTTTTAAGTCTAGAAGGTAGATTTAATAGCGTCTCTCCCGAATAAGATTTTTGTTTTGAGCTCTTCCATAATTGTCGAAACAATCAGTCGTAAATATGGCGGCATTCGTTAAATTACACGTAAAGTTGCTTCGTAGTGAGCCTGTGTAGAGCATGTGTTGGAAAGAAAAAATTAACACCACATTTTTAGTACTCTTATTACTTCAGGAGTAGGTACTAAAAACTTTAAGGGCTTCACAATTTATTTTAAAACTTTCTTACTTTCGTCATTTTTCCGTATATTTAATAGTATGCGAGAAAAGAATTAATAAACATGCTTTGTCACTACGGGGCATTTTTCGTGAGCAGTTACTTACTCAAAGTAGACCTTTAATACGTCGATCCTTTCTAACTTTGTATCTTTTAATTGCAAATTAGTTGGTAAGTTGGGAGATTTTGAAGCAAATTTAATTGGAAATAAAATACAGATTTCAGGAGTGTTTTTTTGGGCTAAACCCAGCTTATAGGCTCTAAATCGGTCCTGGGGGTACCTGAGATAAATATTTCAGAAATCATAAATATCTAGAAAAATCTCGTTTTCAGATTTTGCAATGTTTATGTCGAACATGGGGAAATTTTGAAGAATGAAGGTTTTTAGCGGACAAGGCTCAAAATCTAAAACTTTTTTTTTCGATTACCGTCTAAACACGCCCTTTAATATTTACACATTATTATTATTATTCCTATATGCGTTTTTCACATTTACATACATAAACTGAAAATATGATACAACAATCTATGACCAATTATTCGAGTTTTTTGCTACAGTTTCGCAACATATTAATTTTGAAAAATTTTCCTTTTATACTTTTTGTAAGATACTTAAAATGAACGAATCGGCAATAAACTCAGATTCACACAAAAAAGTATTGGAAAAACTTTAACCTGTTTTATCGTCTGAAATAAATCATACTCGCAAATTTCTTCACGTTTAAACAATGCTGTAAAAACATGTTTGAGGCGCTCAAAAAATTAAGTTTTCTACAAAAAAAAACTAATGCATAGAAAATGTTATTTTTGGTGATACCATTTTAAAGGTGTTGTTTTATTTTATATTTGTTTAAACCAAAATACCGGACTTTCTAATAATCTAATCTAAACAGTTTTCATTTTCCGTAAATCACATTAAAGTTACCCCAATTAACGAGTCGACCTCTAGTTTCGTACTTAAGAGCTCACTGTATGTCAAACAAATGAATAAGAAACCCCCAATATAAGTATTGAATAAAAAAAAATATATAAAAAAATCGATGGAACAAAAACTGCAACAATAGATTTTTTTCTAGGTTTAAGAAGCCGGGCTCCAAAAATTACCAGAACATCTACCCACCCTCTGCGACATTGCATCTAAGTAACATTCCAGCAACCGTCAATGAAGAGGACATTAAGAAGGCGTTCACAGACAATGGTTTCACGGTTAAAGCTTTCAAATTTTTCCCGTAAGTATTCGCCATTTCCATTTACGATAAATCGAATTATAATTGATTTCGGGCATGCCTAATAATCTAATATGCAATTTTTATCTAAAAATCTCAGAAAAGACAAGAAAATGGCCCTAATTCAACTGCCAAGCATGGAAGAAGCCGTGATCGCGTTGATAAAAATGCATAATTTCCAACTATCAGAATCAAATCATCTAAGGGTGTCATTCTCCAAATCGAGTATATAATGCCCTGAAGAGACACAACAGTATTCATTCCATTAGCCCAGTCCGAAAGGTAGCTAATTGACAACGTTACAAAAATCGCGCATATTTATTATCATAATAATATAATGACGCAATTTTTTTGTTATTTAATAGACTGTTTTTGGCAGGTTAAGTTCTTGTGTAAGATTTAATTATATATCAACCGACAAATCAGTATAGAACTCAGTAGGTACTGAACAGTCGGTGAAAATGGAAATGTTCGTAAAAACACCAATAAACTTATTCATATCAAGCTTTATTTGTTCTTACCTTATTTTCTCCATTTTCACTGAACGTTGACTAGAAAATAACTTTTAAAACACTATCTTCAAGAGAAGCATATATTTACATAAGTTACATTTTAATTGTTAGTGTTACGTAATATTTCTATATTTTCTTAATTACTCTATTTTATAAATTACCCCCTATTTTTTCTACATTTTGCAATGGCGCTTGAGATCTACTTCACTGCAGTATTACAATTGCTTTAATTTCGTTGACCAACGGTTTAACAGAATGGAATTAATGTTCGCTGAAGAAGATTGCAAAATTAACGCCGCGATGTTGTTTTTTTGTAAGTTAATATATTTAGAGATGTTTAACGCGTGTTAAATGTATGTATGTGACAGGCCATCTATGTTCAATGTTAACACAGAAGGTATGGCACATAGGTTATTTCATGTGCAATATGATAGGTACGATCTATAATAAGTAAGATAATATCTAAATCTTAGTTCTTTAAAAAAATCTATGAACAGGAGGCATTAAGTCGTGTTAAAAATTATGTAGTCGTGAATCGTGTAAAGGACTGTTTCTTCAGATTAAAACAAATTAAAATGGGGTTGAGCAACGGCATTCACTAGCGGGCATCGTTCATCCAAAATTGAATGAACGCTCAAATCAAAGTGATGGTGTTTGCAGCTCAAGTCAATTAGGTCAGTATTTAAGAGCAGTGGACTTAATGCGCCTCTCGATACGTTAAGGTTTTGAAAATATACATGAAGAAACCTAATTAGTATTATATGGCTAGTAAGTATTATTACATGTCGCGGAGTTTTTTAGCATATTTGGTAGGTTAGCCAGTGAATCTAGTTTAGGATAATCACAGGGTGTAGCCGTACCCTAGAGATATGAATTGCGTTTCTCAAATGAGAGACATTCATATTTTCTTGATACAGGCAATCGTGTTTAAACTAATCTCGAAAAATAAGATGAATCTCAATTACTATAAATACAAATCTGTAGAACTGTCTTGTTCCCCCACTTATGCTCCTCTATCCTTCGAACATGCTTGCCTGAATCTCTGTAAGCTAATCTAATCTAGTGATTATATTTCTTTATAAATATCTATACACTATTCACTTTGACAATCATAAATTTCATAATTTTGTAAATTAAAAGTGTAAAAATGAAAGCGTGAATAAGTTTGCCTGTACAAAAAAACAAAGGAGGTAAAAAATATTACCTTAACAAAAGATGAACAGTGAGTAATCTAAGCCACATGAACAACAAACCTCGTTAATTAAAAATGTCCGCGTTCAATTTATTCTAGTCACTGTATCCAATATTTCAACATTTCATTCGAGGACTAACTATTGATTATCTAAATTTCCGACTTCATGCTCTACTTCCTTCCGTTTTTTGTATAATCAAAATTCTCTGTTGTCGAATGACATATCACGCAAGCAAGCATTTGCCAAATTCGAAGTCAATATCTACAATATAATAACTGTGTGACTGTATGTTTTTGAAAGATATATATTTTTTAACGTTTGCCTTTTAAGTCCGCAGAATCGCATTCTTCTTTTATTAAAATACATAAGTTCGCTGTTTAGATTTTGTTTTCGCTTTTCTTCTGTATTCGATTTTTAATGCTTCTCAGGTTTATTCTTAGTTTTCTTGTATTTACCTATATGACCGTATATTATTGCATTTATTCTTTTTAGTTATGTTACTTGATTTGTAGTTGATTAAATACAACTTTTCAAGTATTATTTTGTTTATTTTTTTTTCTGTTGCATTGTTTTCTGTCTGTTTGATTGGTTCTTCTGAAAATAGACAATTTCCTTGCAAATTATTAGTATTAGGGTTGATCGTAAGTACGTGTGGACAGTTACCGATGATACAAGCAAGCGACTAGTTTTGTAATTAAATTTCCGGGTTTATTTCAGTATGCAATAAGAAGATTTCACATTTGAAAAGTGTGCTGGTATTATCATAAACTGGAGGCTTGAATAACAACATATGTATATGTCAATAGATAATGAGAATACAAGAACCCAAATGACAAGTCAAAACCGAATTTGAAATGTATATTTTTGATAAATAAAATATATACATTTAATTACCTGATAAATCCTGTTCAAAAACAGGAGATTTCCTTTCTATCGTCTCGGCTTGACTCAAGTACCTTGAATCTATTGAAAACTCTCATCTCTTTTACTGTGAAATTAATGGAAGATTTTACGGAATTTGCAATTTGCAGTTTTTTACGCCATATAATTTTGGCAAATTATTTGTTGAGCTTGTTTCACATTAGGTTATACAGGGTAAAACGGAAATATAAGTAAATGTTGATATTGTCTAAGGCCTATGCAATGAGCCAACATTAGATAATATTTCACCTTCTTGAATATCTCCTAACATGGGCGAATGAATACTTTTTTCACGCGAATTTTGAATTCGAACACATTCAAAGTCAATTTTACTATAAGCATTTCTACAGGGTGATGGAGGGCAACGAAGTAGCCGCAGTTTCGGCCCCTAAGAGCATTAAAAAAACGCTTCGATACATCAATTTTCAACGATACCCGTTGGCCAGGGTGAGGCGCGCCCTCAAAATCCTAAATGGAGTAATAAGTCCAGTTGCATCTTGTGTGGAAGGCTTTTAATTCCAGTCCGAAATCTAAATGGTTTGGCCAGGGCTGGATTTGGCTATCCTCCAATAACGCAATAAACAATAAAAAATGCAGTTATTCGGACGGATACCAGCCCCTGAAAGTCCGTAATACGAATCGTTTAGCAAAAAAGAATTTGATAACATTTTTAAATTTGAAAAAAATAGCCCGAAATCTAAATGGTGTGGCTAGGATCACTCACTAAAAGTAATGTTAAACTTAACAAAAGCTGCATTATAGCACCTGAAAAAAAAATAAAAATCAGTATTATTACATAAACTTAAAAAAGAAAAAGAAATAGAAAACTGAATAAAACTTTAAATGTTTCTCGAAACCTCAACTCAGTTCAAGTTAAGGATTTTATAGATTAATAATGCTTACCTGCTTTTTGGAAACTTGAGCTTCATTCTCCATTGTCTATCCATTAAACTTCAAAAAACACACACTACGCACAACACACAATGAGAATCCACACAAAGTTGAAAATAAATGTGGATTAAACTCAGCAATTAACCGGTAAGATGATCGACCATTCGTGCCTAAATGGCACTAAATTGTTAGTTTGATCCCGTTTATGAACAAAGAACCGACGACCGTCCCTTGCCCATAATAGGCTGAAGTAAAGGTTCAGCTTTCCGATAAAATTCATGCGAAATTAAGGTGGTTATCACATAAAAAACACACCGAAGTTCAGAACTTAGATAATGATATAATCGTTTTGCTCGCTGGCCCTGACTAATTGTATTGTTCTGCTGTTCGAGTTCAGTTTTTTTCTTATTGACGATTTTCTACAAGTTGCCAGTCCGCGATCGATCTGGTTTGGAAATTTAGCATAAACAAAGTTGCTTTTTCGGGTAAAGATAAGCAAACATCGCCGAGCATGGGGCGACTTTTGAATCCTTAATTAAATACTCGCTCTCCGGTCAATCGTTTGCTAATTGTCATGAAACGTGAAAACCTTTTTAGCTTGATCTATTGTGAGAGGCTGTACAGTTTTTAGCAGATCTAGCAGAATCAAAGTAAACCATTCGCAAAATATGCCATGATTTGTGAATGCTGCTCTTTGATTGCACTATTAAGAGCGACGGAAAATTCGCACACTTACTCAACGGCAAGCTTTCCTTTAAAAATTCATAACTTCCCATTTAGATCAAGTAGCAACTTGAAACTTTCACACCCTATAGAAGACTCATGTGGTTAACAGCGCGGAAATTTCCACTTCAATCGCACTAAAGTCTGATTTTATTAAAGGAAGTTATCAAACAATCGCTCTTTTTTGCAGTTTACAAAAATGGGAAAAGTACTTACAATAAATTTATAAATGAGTCAATTCTTTGAGAACCGCCAACGTAAAATAATCATAACTTATAAGGGCAGGGAATTGAAAGCCCGTTCAAACAAGGTGTAACCTGATCAACTATTCCTTTTAAGATTCTGGTGGTTGGCCTCACCCTGACCAGGTTTCCCATTCCCAACGAAAATTGAGATCCGAGTGTTTTTTCTTTTAATACTCTAAGATCCCGTAATAGCTGCAGTTTCGATTGCTTTGAGCCACCATGTATAAATAACTGTACATATTCTAACTTGATTGTTTCATTCACTATTGCACAGTTGTTGAAGTTTAGATGATATATTTTATAAAAAGTTGTTACGCTATAGAACGAAACTGCAAATTGCAAAATGCGAAAAGTTCCGCAAAAAATTCACCATCAAACTCTATTTTCAGAAGCATCAAAGATATGTGATTGGTGTTAAGAGCGTGAACTGGCACACGCGTATGTTGTAATAAATAAAATTAATAAAACATGATAACGGCAAACGTGCCTGACCGTGGGATCAAGTTGAAACAAATCATTTGAAAGATATCTATTTAAAACATAACACCCAATAAGAAAAGGACATAATATATCTAAACCAGGCGTATATCTATCTATATTCCCATTATACTCTAAACTAATTAATAGTAATACCTTAGATAATCTTTAGAATTAATAATTGTAGGAAACGTTAGCTTAAACTATGGGCACAATTTAAATTAACCAACAAGATGAATTTAATCTTTTTGCACCGTTAAGCATTATACGTTTAAGGTACCTACTTGCTTTACAGGGCCGTTTTAAGCCCTAGATAAGGGCTTCCCTATATTCGATTTAACTGAAACCTACTTTATTGGTCTACTACATTTGAGAAGGGAATCGGATTTTCCGAAAATTGAAAATCCAACAACAGAAAAATCGTATCAAATAATAGAAAAACGTTAAATCTGAACTAAATTTCAAAAGATCGACAATCAATCAATACAGCAAGACGCACTAAAAGCAATCACAAAAATATCCACTTCTCTTTTCAAAGATGCGAAAAACAGTGTAAGGATGTATCATGCAAAGTTACAAACCAATAATAATAATAGCAAAAAGTTTGTTCGTTTTATTATTATGTATCGCATTGAGTAAGTTCTGGTAGAGAATCCTTACACTGAGAACCTCAAAAACGTTCAGGTTTTATCTCAAAGAAAGGTTGTGTTTCAAAATAGTTTCTGCTCACAATTTTCGCTAAAATAGTAGTTAAGAGATAAGTGACGGTCCGATAATCGTTTGTGAATAAACAGGTTCTTGTAGAAATGAAAATCTTTATGTTGAATTAAAGGAGCTGAACTCACTAGTGTTAATTTTCGCAATAGAAATATTGAGAATTTCTACAAGAATCATGCTAAAGGCAATCATATTTTAGGAGTTTCGATATCGTTTGCGACACCTAATACTAAATTGGCTTTTTGAATCCACCATCAATCTCGGGTGCCAAGATCAGTATTAATCAGAACGGCCAGTTCAGTTGGTTTAATTTGTAAATTAGACAATTACTAATTTGTATGGGTAAGATAACATAATATATTTATTTAGTTGAAGATTGTCTATATCATGTAATCGAATACATATTATATCTATATCAACTATATATTGATTCTGAAAGTTTTAGAGTTATTCTTGGTCATTTTACAATAAAAAAAGTTGAAACATTTTTCTTGATGTTTTATTCTTTCCTTTATCCCAACAAGTCCGAACATTAAATATAGAACTCCCCAAGAATACCCTCAATCAGCGGCGGTTCCTCAATAAATACCCATGCGCACGTGAACTCACAAATTTTCATATTATTCTTTAAAAAACGTTTAAATTGTAATATTAAATATCTATTCATTCCAAAAGCTATTCACCAAAAATAAAAATTTGATTTTCAGCTGATCATTGTGCGCCCTTACGACGTGCACGGCTTTTATTTTATTTGAAAGATTTTTGGCCGTAACGTCCAGAAAACATTATCATCCACCGACTTTGTAGACTGTGCATCCTTTATGCTGGAAACAGAGATCGATTAAAAAGTTATTCCAGTTTTTGTCTTTTCCTAGCTTTCTCTTCAATTTTAATTTTTGTCTTCTGGATGACGCAAATACTTATATGATCATTAGGAAAATAATCCGAAAGAAAAAGATGAAATGGAAGTGCGCCGGAAACAAACGCAGAATAAATTGGAAAACAGGTAAGAAACTTAGGGCAGAATTAACACAAACTAAAAAAAACAAACAGATCGAAAAAATACAAAATAAGAAAATTTCATTTAGGATAAAAAATTATTTGAAACTATTGATCCTCTAAGCGAACAGCGACATTTTAGACACAGAACGCAAATCTATATTTTGCAAAAATGCATTGAACATTTAAAGAAAAAATTAACGGATGGTTTTGCGTTAATTTAATGGATGAATTTCGAACAGTTTTAAACCTAAAAAGGCGAACACTGAGATAAAAAGAAATCATTAAAATAGGCCATGAATAAGTGCTAAAGTAGTTTTTTCTCTAAACAGTTCAAAAGCTATCTTTACTGCTCAGCTTCGGTTGACGACTTATCCAATCGATCACGCTATCAAAAATTCATTGCGACTGAACAAATTCGCCGGCAGAGACAATATAAGAAAATATAATCTATGGAAAATATCGATGATTCTTTAATCTTTCTTTTTTTTTGGCTTGTAACATTCCGCAAACTAAAAATTGCTAAAAAAACTGACTAGAAAGACAATTTTGGAGACGCTCTATCAGCAAGGTAATTAAGACTAATCAGCAATTTTCAAGCGTTTGCCAGCCAAGTAATTGTGAGTCCTTTATAAAAGTATAAGCATGTTTGCTAACCGCTAATAGCCAGAAGAAAAAAATTCTAAATCGCGAAAGAATCGATATTTAACAGAAAAATTATTAACAAAAACATAAAATGCATAATACGATTTATTTGGCCCACCCAAATTACATAGAACACACACACCAAATCCTCATAATTGTGGGTCAGTCGCTGTTCAAAATGTCGCCATGAACATAAAGCGATCTTCAATTATTTGCAATTTTTTTTGTATCTAAATCATGCCAAAAAATATTGTCTAAATCACTTGAAGCAGTAACGATAACGATAACGGTTATAGCGAGATACTAAAAGGAATAAAATGTAATCAAACAGCACACAACAGAACTAGAAGAATATTTTCTCAAGCCTGTATAATGTGCTTAAAATCCACATACACTCACTAGGTTGAGGTAATATCCGCTTATATTCTCAACTTTTGAAAACCTTGATATTGACAATCTAAATTTTTATAGTTGCCATTATATGGAGATGAAGATTATAACCATGATATGGACCTGAAGATAAAAAAGTGTAAATGTTCCAACTGAAAATGATCCATACAAGTGAATTCATTTTGTATATTTGACTATACCTTATAACAGTCTTGCAAAAATGAAACCAAATTGATACCCAAACATAGTTTCGTTAATGGAATTGGTGTTCAATTACGATTTGAAAACTCCACAAAAATAGTGAAGTGAAAAAGTGAAGTAATACTTACTCACCAAATTATATTACTAAGAAAACCAGAAACAATTAAAATCATAATACATCAAACACAATTAAAAGGGTGACTTAGATGGTACAGAACAAACAAGTAAAAATAACACAAAGTAAATTAAAAAAAAACATAACAAAATAATCAAAATAATTATTAACGCACACTGAGAGGAATTTGCATCAATTTTGTAACAAAAACAGGAGGTTTTCCTTAAATCTTAAAATTGCTTATGGGGCACGCATTTATGACTGAGTATCAGTAAGTATACTATTTTCAAACACACTCTACGATACAAAAAAAGATACAAACAAAAATATAATAAAATAAGCAAGTGCTGATGAAACTCGCACGTAAAAAGTTTCTCAATAATTCCGTTCAGAGAAGAGATTCCGTCAATTTCCGATGCGATACGATAACACGGGCAAATTTAGCAAGTCTTATTGAAGATTAGCAGAAGACAGAAGAACTAAACGTGAGTCAAATAACAATTGTTTAAAGAAAAATCCGGAAAGAGTGTTGTTAAAAGCATTTAATACAAAACAATACAATAAAAGTGTGATATATTTTAATAAATAACGTCATAAAGTATAGGTATATTTAATTTTTCGTAAAATTACGTAATCTAACAATCGCAGGCTCAGAAAATGCGAGCTTTAACTTTAATTTTGCACCTAGTTCAGTCACGTCCCGAATAATTGGTAAAATAACCAAAATCCTTCACCTTCAACCTTCTTTGAGCAGTTCAAAAAAAACGCATTAACTAGTCTAAGCGCTTTCAAGTTATGGATACTGATTAGTATATGCTAAATTGGATGATTAATGTAATTGTGAAAAAACGGAATAGGAAAAAAAGTTATATCGTCATAGTTGTAATGTATTTATTGAATATCTAAGTGGGGATATTGTACTCATGTAACTCTAACATGGTATATGAACATTGAATGATTCATTGTTAAATAACTATATAACCATCAGAAAACGAATGCTGAAACTTGAAACGTTAATCATATAATTAAGTACCCTTTACTTGTCAACTGAGAATCACTGAGACGAAAATTGAATTGGCAGAAATTTAGTATAAATTAAGTATAGCTACATGTAAGGTACTTCTGTAAGTGATTCTAACTCACCACTAGCGGAAATTAAATCCGGAATTAAAACATACCATCGTTTTTTCAACTGATTCTACCCGTAACACTGGCACATAAACAATTTATTAATATAATAAATACGCACAACGAAAGTAGTATGATGATTGATGTATAGTGCTGTTTTACTCGTTACTGTAGAACCATCTCCACCAAGCTACTTTCATTCTGTCCCAAACATTTTCGGCGCTGAAAATGTAACATAGTTAACTTTATGACCAGGTCATTTGTCTGTATTAAGCAAAACCCACCATTCCATAATATTACTGGAACTATTGCAAAGCGGAAAACCACAAAGTTCGCATCAAAATAGCAAATAAAAACCAAACGAAATGCCACTTGGATTCAAAGAAGCTAAATCTTATACAACCAACTAGTACTACTGTGACTAGAAATGCGGAACTGTATAGAGATAAGAAGCGTCTTGCTTCTGGACACAGTCCATAATGCATAAAGGTGGAACTATTTACCTAATTTAAAAACGCAAAAGCATTGAAGAAGCGAAGAATGCGCTTAGTCACTATCTCGCATATTTTGTAATAACTAAATAAAATATCTTGAAGCGCTACCAAAACCGCAAACCAGTACAGAGGGGTGCAAGCACTAATCAAGCCGCATTAAATTTTCCATTAGCTTAGTTACGTGCAATTGACTACAAGAAATTTAGCAATTTTTCTCCAACATTTGCCACATCAGGATGCATATTATCTTGTTGCTTAACAAGTATTGTGCAGTCACATAAAAGCCTCAATCAATCAAGACAATTAGCTTAGCACTCACCTGTCCATTGCTGGTCTCACATCCAATAGCGCAAACTGGTGCCTGTTATTAACTTTGCCTCCATCATAATAATCGATCACATATCTTACGTCTTTGCCACACCTATCCACTATCCAATCATGTCGGTCGAATGGTAGCTCATATCCCATGAGCTGCCGTATTCGAGCTCTCGGACTATAATCCGCCGCTTTTCCACCAAAACTTTTTAACCTGAAACAAATTGTTTTACGATAAGTTCCCAATTTAGATGGCAAATATTGTAAGACTTGGATAGTATTATACTGTAGTAGTTGAAATTGCAATTCTATATCATACGGAAATGATCTAAATTTACAAACTCTGAAGATTTGGAATGAAGCATCGGTGCAAGAAGAAAATCGGTGTTAATTGAAGTGAAAAAAACGTCGCTAGGGCACTCGAAGATATTCGATAAGGCAGAAAAAGTTTTAGACAGCCTGCTAAAAATTATAAAATTCCAAAATCCACCTTACACGATAAGAAAAAAGGAATAAAAACGAAAAAACATGCAGGACAGTGCCTAAATTCACAAGAAGAGAAACTTAATAAGAATAAGAATACACCTCTTACCAGGTGCTAAGACCATTTTTAACGCTTACTAAAAGGTTGTCCGCCTTTACCCCACACATAGGGCTAAAGGCGGACACTTTATCTAAAAAAAATTAGGGGGGAATAATAAGTGCTCTTGTTTTATTATGGAATTCGACAAAGGAGACACGGAAGACTTCAAATTATTTTATTGGAAATTTTCTTTTCAAAATTGTACTTTTGACAAAACTTAGGACAAGGCTTAAGGCAAAACTGAAAAAATCGTCCGACTTCACCCCGGACGACTGTACTCAGTAACAAGTATTCTTCGTTACAATTAAACATAATTAAATAAAATATTTTTTTGCAAATTGCAGTTTTATTTCCATCAGGGTGGAAGTGTTAACCGATAACTATTAATCTGGTGGGTTTTATAACCGCTTCTGCATGTTTCTGTCATTATTTGTATTTTATTAGACAAAGTGTTTGATCAACCACTATTTTTATAATTAAGAGCGAGAGTAGTTTGGATTCGTTATAACGTGGGTTTTTAAACACCAAATTATGGTCACAGCCGGATTGCGCAATATTTTTCATTAAAATTCCGAGCAGAAACCGAGAAAGAATAAAAACGATAATTTGTTAATAGAAAATCACAACAGTATTGAATAAACTTGATATTGATCCACAACCAAACGCGCTAATTAGTCGTAGACAAAAACATTAAACAATAAAACAAAAATGAAATAAGACAAGCAAAACTTTCATGACTAGGATGTGACACAGTTGCAGTATTAATTTCAAATATAGAATCGGCATCATCGTATAATCAACCCATAATCAACCCTTTTAATTTTTAAATCGATAAAGCTTTGATTTTTTTGATTTATTTTTTTGCTGATTTTTCAATAAAAATCAGCAGATGTAAAAATGGACAGGCAAAAATCCAATGACCATTCTTTTTATTTAAACTTCTAAGTAGAAGAAAACAGATTTTACTATAAAGCTTACCTTGGATCCATACATTCACCCGCATGTAGAGCTTCCCACTTCAGCACTTCTTTCCATGCCTGTTCGTTATTCGCATTATGAATGTTGATAATATCGTTCATGTCCTTTTGACTGATATCTTCGTCATTCCACTTCCATCCCTTTCTTAGCATGGCATTCCAAAACATCTAAATAAGCAAATAGAGAATAAAAAAAAAACCCAAAATTGAGAGTAATGTTAGAGTTCGCTCAGTACTTTGAAAAAATCATATTTATTACATCGATTATGGTGCAATTTTAATAAATTGGTTTATAGTTTCTGCATAACTGGGCAAGTAAAGTTTTCACTTTTTGTCCGTAGAAATATTCCACATGTACTCATTAAATAATATTTGATTTCGACCAAAACTAATATGAAAAAATGTTCATTCGGTAAGAAAATTATGCCGAAAAAATAAATGAACTTCGCAGACCTTCTGTAATGAGCAATTTTAATAATATTAAGTGCCTCTTACCTGAGCACTCGGGTATACCCAGAATGGGCCTTCACCTTCTTTAACAATAGCCTTTGGTATGGTGGAAGTTTGCCGATCTGTGGATAGAGGAAATGGTTGTCCGGGAGAAGGCTTTTGATTAGCCGGACCCATCTGGAAAAGATAATAAAATACTAATTAATTTGATAGACAAATGAAAACACTCAATTATCATCAATTAATGAACTATAATTTTACCATGATGTAATAAAATACGCAAAAGAAAAGGTTGTGTTATGAGCAAAGCGCTAAAATTTTGGATGGTGAATGGAACCTAAAGGTTAACAGTACCAAGACTCCACTTATTAATTTAATGTTTATTTCTGTTTGAATTCAAATTATTTTTGTTATGTCGTTTTTACTCAGTAAAATCAACAATTAATGGAAAAACTGTGTACCTATGTTTAGAAAGTGATGTCCAGTGGACGCGTGAAATGATGTGAATTTGATGAAATTCAGCCTATTAGGTTTGGATTAGATTCTCCTAACTCGAGTAGATAAACAGTACGTGATTTCAACAGCCTTTTGCAGCTGTTTCTGAATGCGCAATATAGCAAAACTCAAATTGTGCTAACGCCAAGACAATAAAGCCTTGCCGCAAGCCAACAGTTATCTAAATATACACTTTTAAACGTACCATATTTAAGGGGTTGATGTCGCCTTGCCCTCCTTGTACCGGACATTCTGAAGATGCAGGTTCCTGCTTTTTATGCATTGGACACTCCGCCGGGATAGCGCCCGAGTAATTTTTTATATCAAAATGATGTTTGTGTGGAATTTGAGATGCATTTTGCACAGGCTCATTCGGACGAACGATTTGAGCAGCGGCTACTTCAGCAGCCGAGACAGTGTTTCCCATAGTTCTTTAATAGCTCTGGAATTCACAAAAAAAATGCGAAAAGTTACATAATGAGAACATTGATTCTAAGCAGGCAAATGCTTTTTTGATTCATTTTCACATGGTTCGATAATCACCTATCAGTAGTATCTAGCTGGACCAAATTGTTACAAGCGTTTTTAACAGCAAATCATTGAATTTGAGTTTGATTTTTAAGCACTCTCGAAACTGTTCTCAATTTTCTTGGCCGAAAAGTGCGGTTAGAGGCATGCAAAGTAAGTTAAAACGAGTGAGAACTAGTTGAAACACGTTTAAAAACTGCGCAAGGTTGCCAAACTGAAGCACCAACTACGGAATGACATTACACAATTTATCCATTTGTAGGCAATCGATTATACCGTAACGTGTGTAGGTGGAGGCATTGATTATACTAATGTTATTAAAATGAACATAATGAATGAATAATTTTTAAGAATAGTTGTTGTCTACTTATTGAACTATTGGAGGATAGCAGTTAAAACTTTGCGTGTGATCTTTGCCCAGCCATTTAGATTTCGGGCTGTTTTTTCCAAATTAAATTTTTTTAACAATTTTTTTTTTCTTAAACGATTCGTGTTAGAGTTTTCCTAGGGCTAGAATCCGTCCGACTAATTGCACTTTTATTGTCTATTGCATTAACAATTTAATTAATCTAAAATAAATGTCTTCAGGTCTAACCGATCACCAACTTGTTAAGAGTGGATAGTCTTGACAATATTTTAGTAAAATAGAGATATACCTACACACTAACCAGAAAACATTTTTTAAATATTTTATCTAGAAGATCAGCATATTGTTAAACTTCCAACCCGATAAACTAGAATATTATCGACATTTATTCTTCTCAACAGTCTTATCCACCAGAAAACTTCTTGTCTTCTTGTGGCAGAGTATTTGCAACTTTTAAAATGTTTTTCTTTAAGTATGCTACTAAAATGTATAAACTACCTATATAATAATTTCAAAAATAAGAAACATATTCTTTTATGTTCATGTCGTTAATGCTGAAATAAAAAAATATTATACTGAGAGACAAGTTTAGTTTAGCACAGTGTTAAATTTTTGTCCTAACCATTCTATACTTATTAATATTAAATTTATTATTTACGTGCTTAATTTTGAAAAAAGTTCCGAAAAATGTACAATCGTTTCAAAGTTGGATTAACGAAGATTAAGGCAAACGTGTAGAAGCTTTTAAATTATAGTTTAGAATGCTGTGCAATATATACAGAGTGTTCCAGACGTCCCTACCAACTTAAAACAGCCGTAAGCAAACTATTACGGTGGGGAGACATATCGATTGATCGTTTTCTTTGTTTTTCGGTCATAAAACTCAAATCAACATCAAAAGATCATCATGTTTTCAAATGAAAAATTTTAGTGCAAAATTAATTTACCTACTTAAAAGAAACATGCTTACAAACCTTTAAAAAGCATAGATATATCGGAATAAATTAAGTTAAAATATTTGTTTTCTAACAGGAAAACTCAAAAGCAAATATAAACCAAAAAGCAGTATGAAAGTTTCAAAAATAAAGTTACAGGGAGCATTACAACATCTTGAAAAGTATTCAAAATGTCTGGAAAAACTAAAATGCAAAGCAAAATCCACAAGACATCTGGATGGAGTATAATATTGTACTTCATCTATATAGCGTTAAAATCAAGTCAAATTGAAAGCATTTATAAAAATGTTATTTTCAATAGACAACTAATAATTATTATTCGTGGGACATTGTGAAAAATTTGTTATTAAAGCAAAAAGTCATTACAGCACTTCATTTAAGAAACTTTTGAAAGAAACCAATTACCAAAATATTTACATTGTAAATATTTATTCGTCGTTATATCAGGATATGTAAATAATAATGCGAATATGAAATAACAAGACTAGGATTTATTATTATAAGCCTTACTTTGTACAAAACAAAGCACGATAAATGTATGTAAATTATAGGAAAAGCACAAATCCATTGCAATTTCGGTAGTGCGATAGTCGTTAAATAGGTAAAAATCGTGTCTGTTAAGTTTACAAAATGTATTTATGTGTAAACAAGTTCACGATATAAGTATTTATATATCTTCACATCTACAAAAATACACTGATCTTTCTAGTTTTACATGTACCAATAATCTATACCACTAAATACAAAATAGTGCACCTTATATTAAGATAACATTACTGATCACACTTTACAAAATTGAGAGGTAAAACGCTAATAACTATAACAAATTAATCTCGATAATAATTAATCAGTCGAACATGAAAAACTAGTGATGAAAATAGTTCAGTTAAGTACGTAGTAACTTTTATAATAATAATGGATTGTAAAACATTTTTGATGCTGAAAAACAGTAAATAACAATTTTGCGCGGTTTTTAAATTTTTAAAACACTAAACAAACATGTTTAAAATGCTCTAAATAATATGTTATAGTTACTAGTTTACGTCTCAAATACGTAATGTTGATGGTCATGTAAAAGAAATATTGAAAAACATTATTTTGTTTAATTTGTCTTGTATGTCTAGACTTTCCTTTTTATAAACCTACTTATCTTTACAATCATCAGTTATTATTTTAATAAAATTTCCTTTACAAACGCATGAAATGAAAGAGAAGTGCAATTTTACCAGCATATATATGTTGCATACACGGTTTGGTTTTAGTGGGCACATAAGGTAGTTTTAATTACAAAAAAGTACGTTGATTTTTTAACGCCCTGAGCACAAAGCGTGATTAGTTCGAATACATTAAGTTTCAAAGGAAGGTTGATCGAAATCTATACAGTAAATGTTTTTTTCGATGTTTCAAATTTATTGGTCCGCACAACAATTCCACAATCTTTCTGCTAAAACATTTAAAAAATGTAGAAAAGAAATGTTTGCTAAGTGTGGCAACTGTAAGTATTAAATGAGTTAACACGCAAAGAAGTACACAGAAATATTTTAAGACCATATTCATATAAACACTTATTATCAAATTGATCAAGGATAAACCGTAAAAGCTTTCAAAATATGTTTTAATCATATAGGAAATATGTAGTGCTTCAAATGAAAATAAGGAGTAATTTGCTTTTTTTATCAAATGGATTCTTCAAGATTCAACAAATGCATACTGAATGGTAACATTTTAGAGTGCATAGAACCTGTGAAGATATCAAGCTCAAAATGTGGGTAATTGCTACAAAAACATGAAGATCTTTTAGCGTCGCTTAAGTGTGCTAATTTTTTGTGGCTTAAGCGGACCTGTAATTTTCGGACTAATTCGGACCTAATAATTTAACTTTAAAAATTATTGGTCAGCGTAAATTACAAAAAAAATTGGTCAGGAAAACAGCAGTCGCATTTTGACAATATACTAAGCGGTTGCACTTTAGGCATGCCGTTTATTCATATACAAATAATATTTCTTGTAAGAGTATTGTCTAAATATTCCTTTTTTCAATTTCAAGTTTATTTGCTAAATTATATCGGAAACAATCTGCATATAGATGCAAATATTTTCCAAAATGGTTCATTTAAAATGTTAAAACATTCTTAAATAAGCTTCCGCAGCAGCCGTCTACAGCTATCAAGGTGTTTGGTCACTGGTAACTTCCTTAAATGGAACACCCTGTATATTTTGTGAAATCTGCACGTTTCTAGAATTGTTTTTGGATCGTTGTGTATGACGTCGCTGTTCATTTGATCTTGAAATGTGTGTGAACTAACGATTTATGATCGTAATTGGAATATTTTAATAGTAAATGATAATTTACTGGATTCCACCTCCACTCGTTCGAATGTGTATTTTCCAAATCTATATTTTTAGGCACATTTTGTAGGTTCAATTCAGTTAAATTGTTAGTTTCGGTTCGTTTAATAATATGTTTTTTTTTATAATATCAAACCGCTTTATCCGACAAAATGCGAAAGTTAGCATTGCTGCGAAATGTTTAAAGTACTGCATAATTGCAGACTTACTTGCAGACGTTTGCCTACAGTATTGACGTTCAAGAAATGCGAATTTCTCCTCGTATCGCCCAGTGCGACTTTAAATACGGTTTGAAGCGGAATCAGTTGAAGACTGATGCATAACAGAAAACCATTGATAAATAGGCAAAAAGCGTAAATATTTAAACACAAAAGATAATTAAACGAAAAATATTACTATAAAAACAATGACACATTTTTTTCATTTGAGTAAAAATATTTGTTGCATTTTTATCCTACTATATGTGCGGGCAATAAAAATCTTTTACTAACATCAATTGGAAGAATGTTTTTTCAGATCATGTAATGCATGCATCATGTTTTCTAAAAATCTCACAATATACAGGGTCCTCATTCAAAATAGTAAAGCCAAACCAACTGGAAAAGTGGTTATATTTTTAATTTGTAGAAGCCAATTACCCACACACAACATTTAATAGATTTATGGTCTCAAGGAAAAATTTGGGGTTTATTTTAGTGCGTACGAAAACAAATAATTATTTAAGTCTAGTTTATAGCTAGTTTGGTTAGCAGCTGCTCAAATTTAAAAAAACAATCCTGGTGTGAATAATTTCCAAAACATCCAGTGTTTTTACAAATAGGAGCAGAGTCGAAAAACAGCAAAATAATGGATTGGACAAAATATATTATACATCAGTTGTATTTTATAGCAAATAGAGAATGTAATTTTCAAGTGTCCTTAGTTTTTACCTATTTTTTTGCAAGATGGTTGATTTTCTTGAGAATTCGGTCTGTTCTCAGATTCGACATCGGTCAAGAAACTGGAACTTATTGACCTACTTACACCAAAATTTAGTTTTAGGAATTGTTTTTTCGTGAAAATAAAATAAATCAGGACGCTCTGAAAACAACTCAAAATAAACCCCCAACTCCTTAAATGTTTCCTACCAGTTCAATTCCGAATACAATTCCTAATGGATAAATCAAGCGCACGTTATGACTTATAACGTATAACCCAGTGAATAATACATGTTGATAAATATTATTAAGCGTGCTTAATCCTTTAAAATAATCCGTGATGTTTCATAAATACAATAGTTCCTGAACATTGCACATCCGCAGTTCGAACAACTTTCTTTGCGATAAACCACATCTAAAATGTACCAAAATTAGTTTCTGATATTTGGTAAACATTTACTTGTACTTACAAGAGGAATAATTATTATTTACCCTGGAAACGGTTATTATTATTTTCTCGGATCTCATATTACACGCGATGGATGGATTACACTTTTGAGCAATAACCTATTTACATGTTCAAAAATTTAATACATCAAAATTTTTGATTGTGATATAATTACTTACAATTACGATTTTTAACAATTTATTGTTTTTAGGTAAAAAAACAATGCGGTTTTCCTGTAGCTCCTTAGTTCCATTCCTATAAATATCGAAAGAAAAACGACGCAAAACAAGAATTGAGCGCAAATGGCCATTACAATAATACATATAATGAACGTGACATCCATACAGGGAGCTGAAACCACTGATCACAATCCAAAATTCGAATAAACGAAATGATGCACAATGCATTAATAATTACCTAACACCTAACACATAGTTATTTCAATATCTATAAATAACATTCAGTCACAATTTTACAGCGCTTATTCAATAATATTTGGCAAAAAATGATATAAATCTCATTCACCTGCAAACTAAAAATGGCAACAAAACCCAAGCCGGTAGTTCATCAACAGTAAAAATATAGTTGTTTAATGATCAGTTATGGTACAATGTTATCGATATTGCTAGTGTATAAAAGAACACTTAGCTAGCAACGAAATTTTTTTGACTATGTTCTGTGAAATGACATATTTTGGACAATAAACTCGTATAAAATAAACAATTTTTTACAATCGTAGATTTGATGATCAAAGAACTAGTTACAATTGTTAGAAATTTAAAGCAACGTGCATTCACGACTTATCTGTACAATTCATTTCAATTTCGATGTTGCTTTAATAGGAGGAAGTATGTGGCTTACGAAAAAAACATTTAATTACTGCGCAAGTTAAAATAAGTATGGTTTCTTTCATGTTCCGGGGTATTTAAAGGCAACGACCAATCGGTTTGATCAATCAAATATAAAACATATTTTTAAGCTTGAAAAATTTCGTACATAAGACACAAACGTACTCCTTTTGTAAAGTTTGTTATTATCATTTCCCATCCGATTAACCAGCTTGCGAGATCAAACAAATTTAATATAGAAATAATGTAAAACCTACTAATTCAAGCAGTTAAAACTATCCCATTTTCCATCTATGTTCAAATTAGTTGATTGATATTGTGCATTAATAGTCGCTTATTATCTCGCATACAATAAATAAACATCTAAAAAAATTGCAACAAATTGGAATTAAAACAAAAAATCAACACATCGAACACAAAAGAGCTGAGTCAGTATTGGAAAAATGAACAGTGATTAAAAGTGAGTTAAAGTTAAATGGTCCTACAAAAACAATGCCACAGTATTGCACGTTAAATACCCTGTAGAATAAATGGCATGCTTGCGATTTATTAAATTTGCTTAAATATCCCAACACATTTTTATGGCTGTAAGTCCTGTAGCTCTTGAAGCGGTAAATTTGATACAATTGAGTGTAATAGTATGTAATCGGTTTAACAGGCTCGGCTAGAATCCCAACTAGCCATTACTAATACTGACTCATAAACAAATATTAAAACTAGTACTACCGGACATAACTACCGCATAACTCTCCCCAGGCTAGCTGATTTTCTGCCGTTTTGTAAGCTGCTCAGTTGGACTCACGCATTCCAACTTTGCAGATTGCAAAGGCGATCCATTACATAACGAATCATTACTTCCGTAAACGCTCAAATTGTTCTGCAACACATCTTGTTTCTGAAATATAAGATAGCCAAAACTTTATTTTTCAATCATTTGCTATTAAATTTTCGTTTTATAATCAATAACTTTACGTACGCACATTACAGCCCATTAATCAACCAACTTTCTTTAGTTAAAACTTTAGTAGATTAAGTAAAGTTATGATTAATGATTCAGTCCCAAAAGCCATCAGAAATTTTAAATTATTCATAAACATGTGGCTTTGTAACATTTTTAATAAAGTGTATTGAACGAAACCCCCACTTGTAGCGTCATTTTCTTTGGTAGCAATAAATATCGTTAAACAAACACTACTAATCCTCAGAATCGTTCAATTTCCAGCCGCCGTAGTTTTCGTTGTTTTGTTTTTAGCTAAATTTGTTAAAAGCTAAACTAAAAATGTCTCTAATTTTCTTGAACTGAGAGAACGAAAAGCTTAATTTAAAAAATGCGTGATGTTTTCTATTAATTCAGAAGAAATTAAAGAAAATCACTCTGGAAGATTTCAATTATACAATTAAAACTAAACATATACAGACACACTAAACATGAGCTAACTTGAATACGTCTAGAGGTAGACAAAAAATTAAAATACCATTCACTTAATTTTGCGATCTGCATATTTGCGGAAAAAATTGGATTTATTTTTCTTACTTTAAGGTTTCATTGGCTGCTCAGACGTATTTTTTACAAACTATCAATGTTCAAATTTGCTAATCGACTAAAACTATTTTTTTAATGGAAGCCATACTTTTTTAACTGAAATTTATTTGACATATTAATCTGCGTCTTTTGATAATAATGTTGTCTATCCACATGAGATAGAGAATAAATAAGAGAAATTTAGAAAAAATATTTTTCGAAGCACAACAATGTTGATGTAAGTCTGAATCTATAACACAATCTGAAATCAGCGAAAAAATAGTTGAATAGTTTCACTAAACAAATCTTTATTTCTTAAAATATGAGTATAGAATATATGGCCTTTAACAGACGCAGATTAGGAGACCAAATAAATTCGGAAAAAGTATTTTTTATTAAGGAAAAATAGTTTTAGTCAATTGAAATACATAAACTTTGTTGAAAATACATCTGAGCAGTTAATGAACCATGAAAGTAAAAATAGAGAGAGTCCCTTTTTTTATAACATCCGACGAAAAAAGCAGGTTATCACTCATCATTTCTGAGAAATTAATGTTCAAAATACTCTCACTTTTTGCAAGAAAATTTCAAATGCGATCAATCATAGCAGCAAATTATAGACAATTGGGGTATCAAATAATTGTAAATTTAATGCAGACATGACGAGAAAAATGGTGTGTTCCATGTTACAAAATTAAGAAAGCGCAATATTTTTACTTTTTGCCTCTAACCGTTAATGGCGGTATTTCATACTAAAGAGACCCATTATTTGTTACACTGCTGAACCAATGCTAAAATGAAAATAGTGTTTCTTATTTTTTATATTTTTACTTCCACTTATGTAGATATAAACAACTTGTGTAGAATCTACTGGGTGATAAAATTACAAGATTTAACGGATTTGCTCTATAATTATGCGACCCGAAGTTACATCATGATTTTAAATATTTTAAAATAAGAAGAACTTTGCATTTTTTCTCGTACTGCTTGCAGAAGTGAAGAAAATACAAAAGAAAAAAATGCATATGCAGGTTAAAAATATTTTAGATAAAAAAGGCTACAGAGTGAAGAAAATCTGTTACTTTCTTATATCCAACTCAATATTCGAATGATGGGTGCATTATAAGTTGAGAATATCTCAAAAACTGTATAAGTTGTGAAAAAAATTAGGTCGTTTAGCTTCCACACTCTGTACATCGGTACCGAGGCATTTTCCGACGTATTTTTAGTGTGAAAAAGTTATTCCGGTTCGTATGTATAGGATGCCTCACCTCATTGGAGACTTTATGCCACCAGGAAATAAATCCACAATTCTAATCCAAGTTTCGGAGATATCTAGAGTTTTAAGTGGGTCATTTATTTTAAACTATACAGGAGACCTCCTATAGTTAGATATCAAACTCTTGTTTTTTTAATGGAACATCCTCCTATACCATAGAAAAAAATAAAAAATAAAGATGTTTCAAAATGGCATAATAAAAAAAAGTAAACCCTTTTTGAAATGTCAGAAAATCTGAAACTGTAGAACAAAATTTTAAGACATAACGTTCCACGGAAATTTCTCGCTTATTTTAAATGGGATTTAATTTTTGAGATAACTAGGCGGAAATATAATTATGTTTAAGAGTCTAATAAATTTCCCAAGTAATTGCGATTTGCTGCACGAATGTCAACAGTTTAAACATTGATTTTGCAAAAAGGTTTACTAAATCAAGTCGGTGGCATAAGTGAAATATTTAAAGCCCCCTATGGTAACTCAGGGTTTTAAATTTAAACTATATATCATAAAAGCACTTACAATTCCTTCCAAAACTACCGCTATAGGAACCACGCCTGTCGCTTCAGCCACCTGATGTTCAATGAGGTAAAACATATATTCATCGTACAACAACCGAATTAGATGAAAGGATCCGAAGCTAGCGGCAGATCTAAGAGTCAAATCTCTTATTACCATTGAACTGCAATATAAATTACATTATTTTAGGGACGTAACTATATTTTGGCATATGTTTGAGCATAAAAGTAAAGTAAAAAAGGTAAAGTTAAAGTATACATATGAACTCACCTATAAAAACTCCACTTCAAAAGAAACTGTCTGGCCGCTTTCGAAAACGTCGGTGTTCCTTCGTAGGGCTTGAGCGCGCTTTTCACCACATTCTTCAACCATGAGGCCCATTGCTCCAAAGAATTCTGCTGCTGTAGGGTAAGCTTGAAGTCGTTTTCAAATCTTGAGACTATTTCATTATCGCACTGACAAACCTGGGATTGCAAATATTTTAGACATAGTAGCTCATGGAAGCAAACAGTTAGCCTTACCCAAGAAGCCTGCTCCCTTACACTATGAAAGTCTACACGATTTAAGTCTGCCAGCATTTGTCCTATTTGATTTCCATTATGTAAAACGGCTCTAGCAGCTTGAGCGAGATGATTTAGCGAAGTATACCGACGCAAACTAGAGCTAAACGCTGACACGGCAGTCAACTTGATTTGTAGCATTCCTGATGGGGCACCGGTCATTGCACTAGTCAGCCAATTCTCCAAATCTTAGACAATCGAATAAATGATTAGTTCAGTATCCTCAATAAGAACTAGTTAAATGGATAAAACTTTCTATTAATATGCAAATAATATCGAAAGCATTTCACATAAATATACTCACTTTTGGCGAAATTCCTGATAGATTGAGTAAGCGTTGCAGGTATGGGTTTCAAAACATCCGGCACCAAAACTTGAATTAAGTTCTGGTAAAATACTAGATCCACTTGTTTCATAAATATTTGAACCGGTTCTAACGAACACAGTGAAAATAGCTTTGACCTATGAACAAAAAGCAACATTAGAAAATCAACATCATGCGAATGTTCAATATAAATCCAAACATACTTAGATAAATATTTTTCTTCTTCGCACTCGTCTCCATTGTTATTATACTGCGAACGCCAGAACTCTCGCCATAACGATTCCACAGTATTAAACTCCAGACTCAAGATCGCATCCAAAAATGCCTCTAAATGTTCTCGATAAATAGATCTTGAAAGATAATTGAATAAGTAGCAAAACACATCTGAATAAACCAGCTTCTACATACTTTAAAGTATCCACATCCTCGTACCCACAGTCCTCTGGTAACCGTTCAGAAAACTGTATATCTGGAAAATTTGGTATGGCATTACTACCATCACCCAAGTAAGCAGCATGTTGCAGTAGCGTTCCATTGGAACTCTGACTATCCGAAGAGTCGGAGTTACGTTTGAAAGGACGGATAGTTCCTTGCGCTTTGCCTGAAGAGTTTGAATTTAGAACTACTCGACTGGAAGAGTCTTCTATATTCATTAGCGAAGAACCTGGCTTAACACGAATGCCGTAGTAATGATATTTTGAATTGCCCCTAAAAAATAAAAAATAATATTAGAGAAGAATCTCGGCAAACTTAAAAGTATAATTGATTCAATTTTTCACAAAAAAATAATCGCAGTTTAATGATACTCCTACACGGTGGTCCAGGTTAAACGTAATTAATTTTAATAGATGAAAGATCATTAAAAATAAAGTACACTTTTATTAAAAAAACTTTACTCGCAAATCTTTCATAAAATACTAGGCGTAAAAATTTGAAAACATTTTCTGGGCTTCTGCCTTTTTTACTCAATCAAAAATCTTTAAAGCCACTAAATATTTCAAAGATACTTGGACATTTCTAATCTATTCATTTCTAATTGGAATCACAAAATTAAGTAGCCTTTAATCTACATAAAATAATACTAAAAATGTTTTACTGCCACTTGAATCTTAATTAACTCAGTTTTGCACAAGGATTTCAAAATCGTTGTTTTGTGTGTTATGTGATCATGACGTGATGAAATTTCACGAGTAACATTCTGCAACTGGCTCTTGGAATCCAAAACACCTGGTGACAATAAATTCGATTGCAATCAGAACTCAAAAACGTGTTGAAGTTAGAGTTTACCATTCTCAGTATTTAATTTAATATCTGGCACCTATGCTTTGTTTTTAGAATGTATTTTATTTTTTAATTTTATTGTTTGATTTTTTCTGGCAGAGTTTGTGCCATTAGACCTGATTTTGTGATTTCTGCAACTGCAATGGAAGCGAGCCGGAACCGAAATTAATTTTAATATCTCAGTTCAAATTTACAAATTGACAAAATCAATTTTACAAAAGCAAATTTTTCTTAAACGTTCAAAAAATGAAAAAGTAATTTTGTTTTTCAATACTTCGTGGAGTTTTCCGATCTCAAGTTAATGCGCTAATGATGTTGAACTAAAAACTAAAAAACTATTTCAATCAAACAATTATTGCTAATGCAATACGATGTGTACAAAAATCGACGAAAAATTGATGAAAAGTAATTTTTAAAAACGTTTTTTTCACACTGTGACACTCTGCGTCTCGGTGAGAAAACATTTGCAGGAAAAGTTTGGTACTTTCTGTGCAAAGTGAGCGTTGACGGTTCCAAATTAGTCATGTCTAATTTCAAAACAGTGAAATGTAACAGGCCAAAATGAGTAGAAAATGGGTATATTAGTTTTCATAATTTGGCATATACGTAGACCCTATTTCATGTGAGAAAAAACAAAAACTTCAAAGCGGCCGTACATTACGTAAGTTCATTCGAAAATTCAAAAGAACCTTACCGAGAGGAACCCGAAAAATTGTCTGTTACAAAAATTGTTGAAAAATAGTCACAATCCTTCCTCAATAGCAGTAAAAATTCCAAAATATCTTCTAAATCTTCCATTAATTGCAGAAAATCTGTCCGATCGGTATATCGCATTTCAACCTACCTCATTCCATAGATCTCTTACCTTGTTCCCAAGCGTCTTGTCCTAAGGCCTAAAAACACAGATCTAATGAGCTTTCCAAAGGAAGCAGCATTAACCGGTTCCAATTTATGTTCTGAGCAGTGCCGCAAGTAATGCGCATAGAGGGTAGAGCGTGGTAGAGACACTCCTTCAGCAGTCTCGTAATTTTCCAATAACCACTGAACCTATAAATATACAGCGTTTAAATGAAAGTCGAATCTTTTGCATGTCCTGGAAGCGAAATCTAAGCAAAATAAAAATAAAATGGATAGAAATAATGCAGTTGTTACAATTATATGGTCACTTATCTCTATTGTGCTATTAAAAATAGTTCATTGGACTTAAAATATCGGGAGGACGTTCAATATTGACAAATAAAAAAAGATAAATTCAATCATGTACGGAGTGGGGATTACGGGAAAAGACATGAACGAGGATGGTTTAACAATATTTTCTTCAGGAATATATTTACCACGTCAAGCAAGTGATTATTGATAATACGGAATGTTTGATAATGGGTTATCACTTAAAACATTAATGACAGGCATCTTAGATTCGATAAATCTGTAAAGTTTCCAACATACTTGACTTGGAGCTGAATGAAAATTCGTAATTTGGTTCAAACTGGGCTCGAAGAACTCACAACTATAAAAAAGACGCTGAATAATTGCGCCGTATCAGAGGGCACCCCATGAATTGAAAATCATTTCCGCACTAATTACTATCCGCACTAATTCAAACAAACTAAATGAATAACAGCAGAAAGTAAAACAATTGCAAAAAAGCAAAACCCAAACTAAATCAGGTTACACCATCGGCTAATACAAAAGTGCTCTGCTCAGCCAGGTATAATCCCGAACAAGTAACAGAGCAATGGATTTACTGAAAATATAAAAAAGCAGCATAGGGAAGCAGGACTTACAGTGGCAGGGGAAACCCTAGTAGCATGACCTAAACTGGATCCCAATTCATCCCCGTTGGAGCTGACTGTCACCATCTGCCCAGAAACTTGACCAGTGTTAGTGGGCGCATATTCCTGCACACCCAGGTTAGTAAGTAAAGCTAGCAGATGTTAAAGTTACACCAATCTTAAGTTTTGGTATGTCCTTTTAATGGATCATGATTACCCAACCAATATGGACATCTAGCATGAGTTAGTGCTTCTGATTTTTCTCATTCCATACAAACACTAAGCAAATATCCTTCACCACAAGGTTTAAAGGCATGTTCAAAGTAGTACCAAAAATCTACTCACTGCAGTTGCACCCTGCGGGCCAATTCTAGTAGTGGGAATTAAAGATTCTGCATCTACTGCATGCTGCACCACATACTGTCCAGTAGCTGCAGAATAGCCCACTGTGGTACCAGTTACTGCAGTCGTACCCCCACCACCAGCATTTGCTGCCGGAGCTGCGTAATATTGACCCTGTCCTTGTCCCGTATTGGCTATGGGATATAAGGTGGTGGAATCGCCGACGGTATATACGGGATAAGCCCTGGAAACGATCCATTATTAATCTATTTGCTTATAATTTACACTTTATGAGCCGTCAAATTAGGTGATTTTAGTTCCTAAAAAACTCCTCCTGTTTCATAGGCACGGTACGGGCGCCTCTGGTATTAGAGGTGTTTATAAGTTACCAAGAGACAAATTACGATGTTTTCATATAAATTAAAAAACGATCACTTTAATCCACTTGATTCACTCGATCCTGATTGATTAAACTAAGAATGAACGTTCATAACTTTCAGTGTTGACTAGTAGCTAGGAATTGAATCAAAGAAGACATGCACGAAAACAAGCCCCAGGTTGTTTTTCTTAATCCTCTGATAAAAGTGACAATAATTAAGGCGTACTACCTATAGGATTCTGATTAACAGCAGAAATAAAAACTTTTTTTTGGAGTAGAAGAGGCTCGTAAAGGTCGAGTATTTTAAAAGATGATCTTATATGTATCAAACTCTTTCATTGCGAAAACAAATCATTTTTATATTCAAGACATGTAAAAACGACCAAAGAAAACTCACAATTATAGGCAATTTTGCATATTCCTTAAATATAAAAGTAGCAGTGTAGGTTTCCAACACTACATTTAACTGCAAGTTCTGGTATGTTTTGTAATGTGTAAATGTATGTAGTTATATAAAATATTTAGTCGACCGCAAGAAAATTTAAAAAACTTCAGAGGAAGTAACATTGCACTAATAACGTTGTAAATATTTGAAAATCCATTGCAAAATTACTCATGAAATCGTGAAAAAAACAAGTTATGCCGGAAAAAAAAGTTTTAAGAAATTTTTACCAGTGTCCAAATATGTATATCATTTAAGAGTTGTTTAATACAGCCTATAAAGCATATAGTTAATTGATATTCAGTCGTTAATCCAAAGTTTTTCATTAGTGGTTAACAGATCTTATGAAACAGTCTGCAGGACTTTGTGACAATAGAAAAACGGTCTACTATCCTCAAATATGTAGCGAAAAGCAGATTCAATCGATTATTAAAAATATTACTAATTTTGCAAAATATTGTGATATTATGATAAAAGTGAACTATGTTTTGGTTATTGGTTTAGTACAAATATCCATATTGTGTTAAAATGAATCTTGCAAAAAATATGTCATGCTCATCTGACTTGCGTGACTCCAAAAAAACGCACTTATACGATACCGAATACCGAATTTTAACGATAATTATAAAATTTTGTGTTGAAAATTAAACCTTAAAATGGGTTTAACAATTTTAATGAAAGTTTGTGGGTAGTGAAGGCTCTAAACGGTGCTTATTCCAATTATTTTATTTTTGCCAGTGGTGTGCATACCGCTATGTTATAAGATCTTTTCTTTAAATCGTACGCCACTGGTTTTTGAGACATCATAATTGATTGTCCAATTGTGAAAAAGCACTCTGTTATCTGTCGTTTTCAAGTAAAAAAAAACTTTCAATTTTTCAAATTTCACATTTTAAAACCGGTTTTACAGAAATTTATAGTTTTGTATATTTTAAGGTAAAGTTTGACGTCTTGTATTTCGAAAACGAAGCTTTTGCGGACCGGATATTTGGATTTCTAGATCTATTTACCCCTAAATTTACAGAACCCTATATGTTTATATTTTCTAATTCATTATCATAAAATTTATTTATAGAAAATTTATTATATATTTGTATTATAAACTTGGATTCTAATAATTTAATTCATTTTCGTTTACTAATAAGGCCGCTAATATAAAACATTGTTTTAAGTTATGATATTCGTATCTTGCCTGGGTTTCAGTCAAAGCCTGAAGTAAACATTTTGAAACATCGTTTATTTCATTACGTTTCGGCGAGACAACAGTGCCATCCTCAGATTTAAAATTTTACACAAACTACAAACACCAATTCACAATTAAAACATGTTGTATAAAATTTATAATTTACAAAGTGTTAAAACATTCATCAGTTGTTGAGGGAAAAAAATTCTTCCTTTTGGGAGAGCAAAACATCGGAAAAAATTACCTCATGATTGGCAAAAATTAACGTCCTTTTAGGCCTTTGCCTTCTTGAAAAGCTTGAGTTTGTCTGAATTATTTTCTACATTTGCGACAGTGGTATGCATGTATTGAGATAAACAGAAATAGTTTCAATTTTTCACTAGTGTACCGGGTGTTCCATACTTATGGCTTTATTAGGGTTTTGTAAATGTTGCTAAGGTTGTCGGTATCTGACCTGAAATTTACTGCTTTTGCATGTTTTTTTATTTGTATCATTTCTTGGATTCTTCTTTTATGATAATTTGTTTCCCTAATTAATATATCTGCGTTGTCAAAATCAAAATTATGTAACATTTGGTGTGCATGTTGTGTTAATGCTGTTTTATTTTCACTAGTATTTCTCAGACTGTATTTATGTTCGTACATTATCTTTTTTAAATATTGTTTAGTTTGCCCTATGTAAGTATTATCACATTCTAAACAATTCACTCTATATGCAGTATTTGGTATATCCATTTTGTCAGTTTTTCGCGTTAGTTTTGGGAATGCTGTTTTATTTTCACTAGTATTTCTCAGACTGTATTATGAGTCCATATCTCAACGAAAACAAGTAAAGATGATCATGCTTATTGGGAATAGTTTCTTTAAGGATATAAAACAGTGCTTTAATAAAGAGGCTTTGGGTTATTTCCCAGGCGACATGCAACAAAAAAAATAATAGAATAAACGTTTTTGATCTTCCGTGGATATTTCCGACAGTAATTTTCTACGATTTCTTTATTATCAAATAAGTGATGCTTGCCTGTATGTATGTAAACTGGACAGTAGTTGTAGTAGATACCGGTAAACCGAAGCGCTGTGATATTATCGCCCAAAACCCAAAATTTGAAAAACTGATCGAAAGCAAAATTTTGCGTCAAAAAGAAATTCAAGACAAAGCTATTTACTTTTAAATTTAATTTAATTTATTTTAAATTTAATTAAAACCGCAGACATGCATGGAAAGAAAATGTTTCGAATGCGTAGCTCGGATTCTAAGAAGCTTTGCTTAGCTCTTTTGCTTTTTCATCAATGAGGCTATTTTTCAACGCTTACTATCTAGAGCTTTTTAAAACCAGAACATCACTGCTTCCTTTTTATGAAGCAAAACGTTCTCTGATTAGTTAACGGAAATGCTATTAATGTAAAAGGAAGTATATGAAAGGAAGTACTTGAGAGTGGGCCAAAGATCGGATGTTGAGTAAAACTCATATACTCTCATTTAGTAACTGAAAACTGAGAAAATTCTGCAATCAGATATACAAGATTCAGAAGACAAGAGATATGTGCATGTAACCAAGAGCCCGGAATTGGTTACTGAAGTAACAACAGTATCCAATAACAATTTGGGGCTAGCAACATTGGGTCAACATTGGGCCAACAGACATCGCGACCAATTAAACGAAGAAATACTCACCAAAATAGCTGTGCCTCATTATAATCACCCATGATGTGACACAATCACTCAAATAACCTCAAATTATTGCGGAAAATGTGAAAAGAACCTGTAGATGAGGTATTTAAAATGTTCGTTGTCATGGAAACCAACGATCTCAAGAACGTTTTTTGTTTCCATGGCATTCTCATAAAAATTATGCCAGTTTCAAACTGATGTGTTCCATGTATGAGTCTCGTATACTGTACGAAACTGATTTATATTTACTTCCAACATTTAAGTGAAATGTAAGAATATAACGTAAGATGGAGGTGGAGTAAAACACTTGAATTTGGGATTAAAACAATCCCCAGATCAAATGAAACCAAGAATTCAGCCAAACAACGTTGGATATCTATAAATAAGTAAAAGTTGTCCTTTTTTCACATAAACTTGTTTGATTGAAAAATTGTCCTCTACTTGGTTGGTTATAGAGTTGAAAACGATAACAAAAAAAGTAATTTTTGGCTTATTTATGTTTTTGCATATTTTTTTATATACGTATAAGCTGAAAAAACTGGCTTTGAGGATTTTTTTCATTCACTGATTTAATACTTTTCTGGTGCAGTCACAGAAAAACGGTTGAATAAATAACGCTATTCGAAAGTTTTGAAATTAAATTATTTTGAAACTTACATTTGAGGTTGCCCGCCGTTAGTCTGCGATGCGTAGATTTCCTGCTCAACATATTGGATTTGGTAACTTTGGTGTGAAGCCACTGCGTCGCCTTCGGCAACTGAAATAAACCCATTGATTTACTTCTATTCTCTCTTTACATGTCTTTACATTTATTTAACATATCGATACTCTAATGCATATACATCGTAACCCAAAAAAAAATAAAAATTATATTTTGGCGTCAACACAACACGAATAATCGTACATTATTATATAATGTTAACACATAAAAAATAATAAAAATACGGAAATAAACAACGGATAAACATTTAAAAATAAAATATGCCACGAACAACAACATTTTAGCAGCAGTTTTTTTGTGTCCACTGTACCAGTTTATTAAACTGGGTTACCAACTATCAAATTTTGTAAATACAGATCTAGTAAAATGTTTTCCAAATTAATTAATTATCATATTTAAGTAGTCTCTCATATCTAATAGATATTAGTTAACATAACAATTTGTTGAGATGAAACCAGTGAGTTTTTGAACTTGCAGGCTGAAGATTTTTTTCTGCCGTTTCGCAAGCAAGAGTAGCTTGTATCTTGAAAGATGTGCCATATGCGGCTTTAACATATCTGAAGATGCAAACCACTCGTGCCTACGAAACGTCAGGAAAAAATTAGTATCCACGACGGTCTAAAATCACAAAATGCTCACTTGCTTCAAGCAATGAACACTTCATAATTTTGGTCAGATTAACATAATGTGGTTTATATTTTAATCGGTGAGCGTTATTAAATCGGTTTAATTAGTCCATTATGATTTCAACTATTTGGTTAAATTAAAAAGGATAAAAATTGAAGAGAACCCCAAAAAGGTGGAAGTGCCAAAATCATTAATTGAAGATATTTGTGAAAACTACAGTTACTAAATTTAATAAACATTCATCGAGTAGTTAAGAACACCAGATACAGTAGTCTGAAAAATAAACAGAATAAAAAAACAAAATCGTATTTTAAGAATTGGGTACGTGCCATACTTATTTCCTGAGAAATGGGAGCAAAGAATTTTTATTATTGCTACCTCTAAAATGGTGCAACTAGGAGTGTTTCTCTTGTAGCCGTTTTCACATTAAGCAAATTTCTGTAAAATTTATTGTGTTCAGCTTTTTCGAAGAAATCAATCTTGTAAACTAGCGAGTTTTATTTATTGCTGGAAAATTTACTTTCGGATGGCAGTTTTGAAAGTTTGACTCTGAAACGACGAACTGAAAGTTCAAACTGAGCAGGAGTTAATTATCCAAATACGAGAAGCTGCTCGATAACAGTGGATAATGCAGAGATTACAGAGGCACTCACTTGTTTCGACTTCATGACTCAAATGTATTTTTATTTGCAAACGTAAATTCGAGGTTCTGAGGATATTTCGACGAACATGACAGTTGACATTTCGAAGTACGTTCAACTGTTAACGAATCCTGTTGAATTTACCGTTTATCCTTGTCTATTTTATTGTCACTCTGTATAATTCCATGGTTACCGGAGTTTTTAATAATTACGAAGCAACCGGTATTCCGTATTCCGATAATTAGGCAAATTACCTTGAAAAACATTGTTGCCGTCTTTTTGATATCGTTTTTTGCAAATTTCTCTGTATTTAATAACAATTAATTTTTTTTACTATTTTTTCTGTTCTCCTAAAACATCATCAGATACCACCTCCAGAGGAATGACGCCAATTTTGAATCACCCTGTATAAAGCTACTGGAACCTGAAAGTTTCAGACAAATTTAGCTGTAGCTTAAACTGAGAGCTCGTGTGAAAGTCAATATATGTATTCCGTCGCTCTTAATGGTGCGAGCAAAGAGAAGCATCAACAAGAAATCGCGTTGCTTGAACGACGATCTGCCAAAAAACTAATCGGAGTGATCGCATTCAATTTTATATTATAAAGTCTACTCCTCCCCGCTATTGGAATTGTTTATATTAGGCTGGCAAAGCTGTTTGGTGCACAGCGATCGTCAAAATCAGTTTAATTCAGAATCCTGCTTTAAAAATGTACAACATTGTAAACAACAGAAAAACTGGAATCGAACTGCGAAGCAAAGGAATTAGTCATCCAAAGGGCGAGCAAGCAAATGTTTATATCATCAGATTGATTCTGTGGTTGGGCTCATATCGCATGAATGTTTTCCAAACGCATACCAAATGTTTAGTTTCCAAATAAGTGGTAAGTTCTTACTGCTTTTATCCTGGCCTCTTACCGGGATATATATAGTGATTTGGTGCCAATCCTACCGGTGCCTACCGCACCCGCTTTGGTGCGGTAGATCATCCTTTCCGTTAACTGCAGGATTTATTGAAAGTTTTTAAATTGTTTCGATTCTTCACTATGTGTGTAAGCTTTTTGAGGATTAGAGGATTAATTGGAAAAAAATGGTGGATGGACCATCAGCTTGCAGAAAACTGGTAAGTTTCTCTTCTCTATCTAGAAATCTCTTAGCTCGAACTGATTTTAGGTTTACCAAAAGAAATTGATGTTTTATGCATTCTTTCTATTTCTCTCTCTCTTTGCTTTGCTGATTTTCAAGTAAACTGGCTTTAGATTTTCTGCTGTTTTAAACACATTAAGCTTTCGGGAAGTTTATCATTACTTTGTCCCCGGTTGCCATGTAGATGTAGAACTTTTAGTCTCATATTGCTGATTTGATCATATTGTTGCATGCCATATTTATTCGACGAGAAACGACGACGGAGTTTCTTGATTCTGTATTGGGTTTTTCAATGTTTTTAATTTATTTTTCTAAAACTTAAAATCATTTCTAGCCGTTTTTATAAATTTACTCAATCTTTTCTTTGGTAAACTGTTTTTACATGAATTTCTACAGGGTAAATGGAAGCTAAATGTCGTTCTCCTGTGAACTACAGGTTTTGTGTCGTGTACTGTATTTTTTATGAACTATTGCGGTTATCCTGTTTTCAATTACACTCTGAACTAAACGGTTCTTGTATTATATCGGATCGCTCAACTCTTCTCTATTTTCTCGCTCAGTTTTTTAACTTTAATTATTAAATAGTCAGATTTCTTTATTATGCAAACTTGTGGTGTTCTGTTGCGAACACACCTTTAATTATCTTCGAAGCTAAGATATCAATTATTAGTGTTTTTTCGGTTGTAAATTAAAATGTTTGCTGTTCAATCACATCACACAATAATAAATGTCAATCACATTTATTATTTTGTGATGGTCTAGCGGATAGCGCCTTAAGAGGTTGCAAGTGGTCCTGGCCTACCAGTTTAGATTTCGAGGTATTTTTCCAAATTTAAGACATTAAAAAAATGATTTTTGCCAAACGATTTGTATTACGGAATTTCAGTTGCCAGGATTATTATTTATTTATACATTATTCAATATATCGTAACATTGTAAGTAGACATAATATGAGTATAACAGCACCTAGATGACTGAACATCCATACGTGCTTATTATTCGTTCATTGTAAATATTTACCAGACTATTACACCAGATTTGCAGATATTCTTCTAAATTTAAGCCACTAAATGTTTTTTTTGTTTTTGAAGCTAATTCGGGGTTCAAGGGAATTTCAGCAATCTGGATCCGGACAGCAATTATTATGTAGAAGTAGATGACATCCAGGGTTGTAGTTGTACTTTGGAAACATTTATGCTGCTCGCATGTGCAGCTGTGTACATTTTATGGAGCGATTGTTGATTATTTTTTTAATATTTTCTTGCAACTTTGAACTATTAAAATTTTACTATATCATTTTAATACTTATTTTGTAAATATCATTTTTTTAGGTAAAACAAGCAACGTTTTAATGTGCGTGTATTTACTTATTAAAAAAAAAACATTTTCAAAAATTTCAAGAAGATATTAACAGTTAAAGATCGAATTTAAACTTTGTTATTAAGCATTATTTTGAAGAGGTCCCACGCTTGATTGTAAGGATATTGGAATACTTAAGCAATCAAAAAGAAAAATTACGATCCTTGCTTCAAATTACAAACATTTCTGATATTAAAAAAGTTGTCTTCTACAATTTTTTGATGAAACGTCAAAGCGACAATGGTGTTTTTTGTCATTAACAGATAGTTACAGGTAGACAGCCTTTGTCAATAATAACAAGCATTTGTCAAACTATGACTTATTTTGAAGCTCTTCAAGAAGCTGAAAAGTTCAAGCACAATTAGTGATATTAATTGTTTAGAAATTTTAAACAGGTACAATAAGCTTTGATACGAGCCTCCGGTGGCCAAAAACCGTAACGTCACTGCCAGACGTTCCATGATGGGTACTGTATCTCTTAATCGTGTGTTCATTTTGTGTATTTTTGAACCAATTTGAGATAATAGATATTCAAAATCTGAATCACTGATTGTACACATTTTTTAAAGCTTTTCCTAAATGCTACGCCATTTAAAGCACCACTATCATCTCTTTCAAGGTCATGTAAAAGATTACTTCCACTATATGTTTCTCTACATCAGAGTAAGACGAATCCAAAATCTTATTTTTCGCCCTTTCTTCTTCTCATTTTCGTCTTCTTTTTCTTAAGTTAAGTGTGGACGAAACTATGTATGTATGTATATGACAATGTTATGCTACATGTTATCAAGTGTGGACCCTGAACCCTTTAGAAGCGCTTCGAAATTATTTCCACCGTCGACTAAGTTGTGACGGTTCAGCACCTTTTTGCTATTTGGTACCTTATTCGGGTCATATTAATAGCATAATTCCAATTGAATAATGGCTGTAGATACTAAATGAAAAAAATCTGTTATTATGAAAAAAACAAACTGAATTCACTACTTGCTACCAATCGAAGCGAACAAGCCTCGTCAAAAAAGATTTTTTTGAATGGAACTTATATGAACGCGCCTACATATTTAATCTATTTATGGCAAAATGCACACAGGCAAATAAATAAGAATGATCAAATAAGACGCATCGGACGTTTCGATAATCTGATATGCCCAGGTGAATGACGTGCGTCAAACGCGTGCCAAATCAACCGAATATAAGCTCATCTATTGTAGAACAAACGCGTCTTTGGGGTCGCTCTAGATGGGGCTGATTTCGAGGGGATGCGAAACCTGAGTTTGCAATCAAGTCAAATTAAGGGTTCTTTTAGTAGCGCAACTTTTGCAATAATTACAAAACGGGTAGCTCTATTACAAGCAGGTAGCTACTTGCTAATTGAGAGGGTCGAACCTAAAGAGCCGACAAGCTAGCATTCATCTCCAGAGGATTATGTTTATTAGTTGCTGGTAGATCGCTTCGAATAATTTAAATTGGCTGGCAGATTTGAAAGGTTTCTTAAATAAGAAAGCTCGTACGAAGCGTGATGGTTAATTATCAGGGAATCCTCAGTTTATTGCTGTTCACTTAACGCTAGTTGCTTTGATAATGTGCGTCTACCTAGATTAATTGGATGTTCGACTTGCAAGGTTTCTAATTTAAAAAAGGACCGGAAAATACGGGGCATTCTCAGAAATTTGATATTTTTTTATAAAATCGTGCCGGATCTTTGCGAAAATTTCAGTCAACGCTCAAGTAGCATATATGTATAAAATTACCGAGTCTACAATTAGGATCGTATAGTCGGTTAAAGAGTGTGACTACCCAAAAAGTTGACTCGCGTAAAATGAGCAGAAATTGTCGATTATTTGGAGCGTGAAGCTTCTAAAGTATTTCAATTGCTTGGTGCGATTCACGTTTTCTTGGGATGGAAATGCTTAAGAATTCGAGGCATTTTGAGATACTTGATTTTGTTGACAATTTCGCCCCTATTATTATGAAAAATGATTTTGATTGTTTGAGCTTAATGGTTGCTTCCGCTCCAACCGGTTTTCCAATATGTAATAATAAGAAGTTTTTGAGTATATAATAAGAAAGATATCCTCGATTAAAAATCATGATCAAACTCCGTTTGCAAAAAATTTCCATTATCAGCGAGCAAAATTTTGAGGAATACTGGCAATTTAATGTTTATTGTAAAATTAGAAATAATAGCGTCGTGGCATTACATTTTTGTCAAGAAAATTTATACGGTAAGTTAGGCCTATTTTAGATCACTCTAGATAAAAATGTGCTTATAAACTTTGTAGGTGAAAACTATTTCAACATTTTAGGAAACTCGGAAACTGACTATTTAGACAATTTTCAGCTCGCTGTTTTTTTAGAGAGAATTTTACCAACAAATCAAACACATAATGGAGGCGACAAAAAAACACGAAATTACTAAAATTATGAGAGACTGGAATGTGAAAGTGGGCGAGAAATGACAGCAGATGTCACCGAAGGGTATTCGCGAGAAACTATCGATGCGATACTGCGAAACGTCAAATTACTCGTTGTCGAGTGACAGTTGAGACTCGTCAGACTTGTTTATATATTGGAGTTGATCACATTTATAACATAAAACAATACTTACAGACTTTTCGATCTGTTTCTATTTCTTTAAAAGCTTTCAAAAGTTGATTAGAACAAAACAAAATAAATCACAATCAGATCTAAACACCAATGTGACACATATGTCGACAAAGCAAGTGTCAAATTACTACTTAACTTGTAGTTATAATTGTAGCCACCAGGGGGTACACAACGACAAAGGAAAGCGACTCGTAGAGTTATATCGGGAAGGAGAATTTTTAATTACGAACACCCGGTATAATCTCCCATACAGAAGACTGTATACATGGACCTCCCCACAACACACCCACAGAATAACATTGTAAGAAATCAGATCGACTTCATCTTTCGTAACTGTAACAAGTCTTCGAAAAGATGGCGGCGCAGATGTGTACTCTGATCACAACCTACTCTGCTCAACACTAAATATGTATAAGGCTTAAAAAGGGGAAGCAACCAATGAAGACCTTACAACAGCACAAATTAAAGGAACTGGAAACTATAAAAGAACAAACACATGAAATAAACGATAATGTACACACAATCGGTAGACTATCGATTAAAAATAAAAGCGTGGAAGAAAATTGGCGATATATTAAAGTCTCGTTAAGAAATCAGAGAACGCAACAGCCACTAAAACCTAAAGCGAAGAAAGTGAAAAACGAGTGGATGACGCAAGGGATACTGAATCTCATGGGGGAAAGACGCAAACATAAGCAAAACAATCATCAGGAGTACACAAGGATGCACCGTATAATTCGCAAAAAAATAAAGAAGCGAAGGAAATTTAGCTTCAGGAATCCTGTATAGAAATCGAACATCTTTTCGCAATGATTTCTGTAAAGAAGTCGGAAGCTAAAAAGCAGCGGACTCAGAAGATGACTCAAAAAAATGCAAATCGTATCCAAAATTCTTAAAATTTTCTATCTATAAATGAAAATCTAATATCTATAATGTGTTTAACATCACAGCGTGAAAGCTTCTGTTTTTGTGGATATCGAATGGCAAATGTGTCACATATTCTTGATATAACTTTATTACATTCGCCAGAAATAACAAATAAGTTTAAATAATATTCGTTTGTATAATTTAAGCGTCTGGGCATAATTGTTAATTATTTTCAAAAGGGTAACTGACAGCTGTAAGCATTATTTTGGCATTTGATTGTATTAAAAATGGCCACTTTTTTTGCGCCAGCATTTAAAATAAGATGCGGAAAAATAGCCATATGAAAACATTAAATTTACAATATTTCGAAAAATTAACACTTTTAGAATAGACAACTTTACACAAACTTACCCATATTTTTAATACTGAATAAGATAAAATTATTAAAAATGGGGGTTTCCATTTGATGATTGAAAAAATTGATTTTGGGTGGTTTTCTCAACGTCCATTTGAAACTTATTTTTATAACACTTTGTATAATAATTATCAAAATGTTGTCGAAATTCCATTTAAAGTAAGTCGTTTTCAACAAGAAATGGTACTCAAATTAAGTAGCACATATTCCTTTATAGAAAAAAATTGATAATTATTCGAGTGTTGCAACACTGGTGGTGTCATTTTTTATATAAAATTTCAAATATAGCAAAGACAGTTAGACCTAGATACACATGAAATATATTTAGAATTTGGAGTATAATTGAAAAATGTAATTGGATGGCTGGAAGAAAGTCTTGTTTACTGACGAAGTTAGAGTGGGTTTAAAATCTTCGGATGGGCGAGTTTTTATTTGGAGAAGACCAGGAGAACAGCCAAGCATGTATGGTCCCCAACTGGCTTTCCGTGGTGGCTCAATAATATTTTGCGGTGTCATTTCTTTGGAGGCCCGTAAGGACCTTGTTGTGATCCGAGAAAGTTCACTAACTTCCCAGAAGTACAACCAAGAAATTTTAGAAAATGCGGTTTTTCAAGAATGGCACAACGTACCCCACGAATTCATTACAAACCTTTTTTATGGCATTCCCAGACGTTTGAGGGACATTATTCGAGCTAGAGACGGCAATACACGCTATTGAATCGGTTAAAGATGGAAACTTTACCCAAATTTCAAAACGTATTTTTCATAAATTTTTACAAAAATCTGATAAACTAGTGATTCATGTTTTGTTTTAATTTGTCATTCGAAAACATTCTCATATTAATTTAAAAAACAATAATTTGAATTTTGATAAAAGTATGTAGGGTTTATAATATTTTTTCTTTGAAATTTATGGATGGTGCGCTAATGTTGTCCATCAGTGTATTTTAGATCGCTTGCCCCAATGATGCACACTGTCCAATTTTAAAATTTCTCCTAATTACAGGTTCTCAGATATCGATTGCAGCGGATCCCGGTGGGATTGCGGTGGTTCCCTGTATAGGGTATGTCATTTAGAACATAAAGTAAAACGTCCTTTCTAGTAACAAGAAAATATTTTTCAATTCATCAAACTTTTCAATAAACGAAATTATCGTTGTTGAAAATGAAAATCATCCTAAGTAGTCTGTGGCAAAGTGACAAATGTATGCTCAGCTCACCTGTAACTGTTATAAAATGAGGCGGAGTAGTAGCGATGGGATCTTCTTGAGGATCGGAGACTTGATCTTCGCCCCCCGTGCTTTCGTTACTGGATTCTCCAGTCTGTTCCAAAGCTATTACCGGCACTCCGTTCACAGCTCCCTTCAAGAACAACAATTTTCGCGTAGAATCAAAACCCTCAAAGCTGATAATCGATTGGGAAAATCTTATAATCTGAGACTGGCAAACATTTCACACTTAAACAGTTGAAAATAGACATTTAGGTGTCTACGCCGAAAGTGGCTGGTGCAGGATTGTTTGTCATGATAAATATTTATTAGTGAAAACCCTTAAAAATGTGTTAACTGAAACTGCTGTTTGGTATATTCTAGATAATTGTCTCACCTTTAAATTTATTTTTTTTTCAAAAGTGGTATTTCCAGCACGTGCGATATCAATGGATAAGGTTATACGATATAGGCGGTTTCGGTAGAAATGAATAAACTTTAGGGTAAACTTCAGTAAAAAGAAGGAAAGAACTGAGAAGACAATAAAAACACTTTCACTGAATAATATCAGAAATTACCTGATGCAAACTGGCTGGTAACACGATGAGCTGGGTCGGTTGAGGCTGCTCAGGGGGCGTAGTCGCAGGAGACGGTGTGGGCGGACTGCTGCCACCTCCTGCTGCAAATCGAGCTGCGGTTGCCATAGCTACGTCTCCAGGACTAATCCTGTTGCTCTCTGAAACGGCCAACGAGATGAGCGGATGCTCTATGGAATAAAGAAACATTCTTGTACAGAAGGAATAACTCCACCCGACGAAAATGCTTTTGACAAAAATGAAAACTTTAATGAATGGCACTTATTAAAAGGCACATTTTCAACAAATATGAAAGGAAATGGCATGTCATTTTCTGCACATAAAAATAGACTAAAATAAAGAATATGTAGGTACTTGCTTTGCAGTCAACCTTTATAAAACCCTGAATGGAAAGTTGTGATATAACTCCTGCTCACGAAATTGGTGCAACTTGGTCTGCATAATATATGCACAAAGGAAAAACATTCTATTTCTCCAAAAGCGTTAAATTTTTACAAAATAAAAGCTCCAGCAGCCTTCCAATATTCTCAGTCAGTTGAAAAGCTAATTAATTTAATACATGAAGTACTTCGTTTTGCATTAAATAGATACATCATCCAAAGGGGTTTTCAATGAACTTTTGCGCTCAAATAATTAAAATGCAGTGCGCTTTCAATACCAATTTGATTAGAAATAGTGGCACTAATTAAAATTGTTTTTATGCTGGTAATTTTTAAATAGTAAGCACACTAAAATTAAATTATCGACAACTGAATTTTTTAATAGTGCACGCCTTAATTCTAAACGTATTTTATTCAATTTTCTATACGTATCGCCAACCATTTTGAAAATATCGACTGTTGACTTAAGATAAGAAAGGCAAAATAAGGAACTAGTTGTTATGGAATTAAATGGTCTAGTTTCCAATTCTGCCCCAAATGATTAATTCAATAAAAATTAAATAAAATAAAAAAGTTAGTATTTTTTTTTTGGTTCAACTTAACCTGTTATTATTTCGAAAATATTGCAAACATTCTGAGGATTTGCTTTAGAACAAAAAAATGCAATTAAACACAGGAAGCACCATGTGAACAAATGCACAGACAAGTTTGGGTCGATAACATACTCGCAAGACAATATGCCAATTTAATTATCTGTAAAAAATACATAACTTTCAAACAATTGTAGATGTTTTTAGTAAGTAACATAAGGCCACGATATCGTTTATATAAAGCGGCATTTTAGGTAAAAAAGAATTGCAGCCAAATTGCACACATATTTATAATATCCATAAAACAAAAACATATATAAAATGAGTTAAATAATATTCCTGTATTGACAAAAGCTTTAAGCTTCTAAATTACTAATTTCTTTAAACAACTAATTAATTATACTATTATTTTTACTAATTAAATTTATTATAATATTAAACGATTGCAAGCTTAATGAGGAAAAAACAGTTTAAAAAGAGTACTTTTCAAATGATTTTATAATTTACGCAAAACTCCAAGTCATTTTGCAGTGTATCAACAAAGATCAAACGAATAATCGGAGTCATAAAAATAGAAAAGCTACGTTAAACCTAAAATAATAAAGGGTGGTTCTCGACTAATGTGACACAATCACTGAAAATTTGTCGTATCCCGTGTACAGGGTGTCGAACTGTAAATACAATTGTTGTTTTTTTAAATAAATTCTTAACTAGTTCTACTCCAAATTGTTTGGAGGTTTTTTAGATCGAGAAATCCACATTTTCTATTACTTCGCGTGTAGAAGGCGCTAGCTGCAACAGTCTGGAGTCATTAAAACGTTTTTTTTTTAAGTGTGGCTTAACATATCACTTTTCTAATTGTGTCTAATTTCTAAACGTTTCTAATTCTAATTAAATATCTGGTTCTTCAATATTTTCTAAATAAAAAATGTGGACTTGGTTCATGTGATATCTGATATCTCTCACCAGTTCCGAGATATTTCACATTGAAACCTCTATTGATTTTTTGAACCACTTAACGCGAATGGAATGTCTAAATAAAATAAATATTCTGCTCAAATTTCCAATAAAACCAAACCTAACAAACATTAAACCGTATTTATTTAGGCACGTTAAAAATTATTTTAAACTACTTTTTAAACTCAGTAAAGTATTTAAAAATTATTATTTCATAATAATTGTTAAAACTGAACTCATTTGTAACACTTTTATAAAAATGATATGGTAGCACAAACGACTATAGTTTCGACGGTACAAGGAATTATTGCAAACATTGTTTTAACATATTATTCAATAAAACGTTTTAGAGTATTACAGTCAACTTTTCGCAAAATAAATTGAAAATTAAAAACGAATTAAATCAAATACTCAAAAGCTGTAAGTTGTTGTCAAATTTGTAAAACAATTGAACATTCGACATGTTTAAATAAGGTAAATGTAAATGAATTCAAATTATTATAAAATATAAAATTAATCAAATTTTTATATTTTGTGACGATTTTTTAATGTTTTAGTCCGTTTGTGGACATAGAAACATAATTCTAAATGTAAATGAAAAATCTATTAAGAAATTATAAAATAGAGTCAAATATCCTCATTGTTTTAACAGAAAGTATTTGTGCTTCACCTTTCAACCACTTAACTTACTCCGAATAAATAGTTATTTATTTATTGTAAAGCACTTTTTGCTTCAATATGCACTTTAAATAAGTAAGACATATTAAGCTAATTAATTAACCGCGTTTTCTAAAATGCAAGATAGTGCGACTTTTATAGTAAAAGTTTTATTCAGTTCATGACACTAATTTCAATTGTTTATTTTTATTGTTTGGAATATTTTTTTCTCAACATTTGTGTCACACACTCGCTGAATTCGAAACATTCACTTGCTATGTGAGAGTGATTTTTTTAAGCTGCAAAATGAAAAATTTTTGGTTTCTTCTATGCCTTCCTTTCGCAAACCTCTAAATATTTAGATCACTTTCTTTAATTAAAACTGAAGAAAACATTATTGCATTACATCCTGCTATGTTTATTTTCAAAAAAATATGCTCATTAAAATGAATTCATACGAATTTAAAATAAAAAATTTTATTGTTGTTAAAATCAATTAATTAAACAGCTATCGCTTAGTTTATATTATAATAATATTTCCTTCCTTTCCTCATTTCCTCCGTTAAACAAATAGATAATTGGAAAATATTTGTTCAATAAAAGCGTTCAAATAAATATCTTCTTCACATTCTGCAAACTTTGCACGATTTTTGTTGTGCCGTTCTCAACTTAGTTCCTTTAAATGAAACCTCCATTTTTCAATTGCGTTTTTATTTAAATGTTAGGCTTAAATAACAAAAATTAAATACATGTTTGGTAAAACAAAAATGGTGAGTCTGTATAACGAAAAATTTGAGAAAAATAAAATTTGTTAAAATTGTCTTAGATCAGTATTGTTATTTTTTTAGTCGTTTGGGTTACTCCCATGGAGGATGAATACATAAATATATCGAAACGTAGAATAAATAAAGGCCGCGTCCATAGTGAGGCATACTGTAGATGTAAAATACAAAAATGGTTTTGCTGCTTCTAAACTTTTTGAATATTTCGCACACACAAAATACTTACACATTAACCTTATGAGAATACACAGAGTGACATGTTTTTGTCTTTCACTAATTTATTTTACGAGTTTTTGTCTTCTTGTTCTGAATTCCTGTTATTGGATTTTCCTTGGTCTTCGAATTTCTTTTGTATCTGTATAATTCGCTATTTACTTCACTTTTCTGGAAACCAATTCTCAGAAAAACTATTGTCTATTGAAAAGATACTTAAGTATTTTGGCGAAAAAAGAAGAGAAAGTTTAAATTTGGGGCAGAAATTTTGGGCAAAAAATCTGGAAATTGACGTCAAAAATTTTGGAGCTTAGTAATAACTTTAAAAAGTAACCATTATTCTACATAAAAGAGCATTTCTCAAACCTCACCGAAAAAAAAAAACATTACTCTACATGTGAGATGAATAAAAAGTTAAGTTAACTTAAAAAACAATTAAAACTTGAACACTGTGTTTATGGTTTATTTGTGTATACGTATATAATTCTCACTCACAAACAATCGCGCGCCAAATAACGAATATGTAACTTCCGATATTAGAAATTTAATCAAAATGTAATTGTTAATTAAGCTAAATAAAAACAAACGTCAAAACGTAATTTTTAGCAAACGTAAAAGAACATTTGCAAAACGATGTGTGGGTGCCATGATTGTCTCTCGTTGTTTTCTTAACTCTTTTGGTTATCTTCGACAGGTTTCAATGTACCATTAAAAATGTTAATAAACAGAAAATATCGAAATAAATACTGACCTTCAAGCATTAAGAGTCCAATACACAAACAAAAACAAATAAAAGCTGGCTTAAAACACTAAGTACCGAACCATACAATCAACTATTGAAACACAGTAGAACTAAACGCACCCCTATAAAGTGTGTATCAGGTACGCAATAACGGAAATACCCGTTAGCACGTGCCCGAGCCCATAGAAAAAAAATGGAAATGCATGAGTTGTTTCTAGTAAGCCAGGTGTGGAGGAAAAAATTTACCCGCATTTTATACACTATCATTTCAGGCTATTAAACAGCCCAGAAAATGACTTAGTTTACCTGGACACATCACATGTCACCATTAAAAGGACATTCCTAATTGTAAAGTAAAAAAAGTAATTTTAGCAGTAATCGTGCTTAAACTTACCACTTCGATGCAGTACGCATTTTTTTTACTTATTTTTTTTTACCCCAATCAATCAATGCAATAGGGATTGATACTGTTGGCTTATTTTTACTAATTTGTCTGCATCCGCCTCTGTTTAAGCCACCTGTCTTTATGATTACAAAATGCAACCCCCACCGGCCGTTCCGGAATTAAAAGGGGTGCACCGATCACGTCGAATATAATTAGGCTGGAGATCAGAATAAAAAGGTATATGGTATTCATCCACCTGGTGAGGATAATTGTCAGATTGTGAGTCACTCGTAAGCTGAAGGCCATGGGAAATTTTGGGGTGGAAAAACATAATCCGAACACTGGGTGACACCGAATTTTCGGTTAAGGGCGTTTTGCAGTTTGGGGTAGTAATCTAATGGACAACATACTAAGCGGATGTGTACATCAATTGTAAGATCACGCCACAATAAATCAGGACGCAA